GAACAAACAAACGGGTGAACAAACAAACGGGTGAACAAACAAACGGGTGAACAAACAAACGGGTGAACAAACAAACGGGTGAACAAACAAACGGGGGAACGAACAAACGGGGGAACGAACAAACGGGGGAACGAACAAACGGAGTAACCTTTTGTGGCACCCTCTCATGTTCCAGTTGACTTTCAATTTTGTCGTCACGCAAAGGAAAAACTTGTGCCTTGCCCAAACATCAGACGTAGCTGCTTACTGCCGATAGCTTGGCAGCCACGGCGTATGTATAAATACAGGATCGTCTGAACGAATTAAAAAAACAAAAAAGTACAGCCCCTCTCCCCAGACACCACGGAACGTGTTAGTACGCGTCCAGGCTATGTGAACGGTGGGGAGGCGCAAGGAAAAGGGGAAAGCGGCAAAAAAAAGTGCCATAAAAGCGGCAAAAAAGCGGCAAAAATCACGGAAAAAATCACGGAAAAAATCACGGAAAAATGACACAAAAAAATACACAAGGGAGGGCGCAGGAGAGAACATCAAAAGGCGAAGTTCCACGGATAACAAACGCGCACAGTGTGCATGCCGCGAAAGGAGGAACCTCCTAATGTGTGTGCTGGGGTGTCCTTCAATCGAGTGAAGTGAAGGAAAAGGGAGCATAAGTCAGGGCAACACCGAAAGGGGTGGGAAAACTGCGGCGAAAATTTCGCGGTGTTAACAGTTGACAGCCCCACACACTTCCACGCGTCATCCCGCAACCGGCACATGGGCACTCATCGAGTTAAGGGAAAAGACGAAGGAGAAGATACACAAAACGAACAAAATGAATAGCCCGATCAGAAGAAAACTCTTGTAGATCCCATACGAATTAAGGTACTGTATCGCCATGGGCTTCAGGTGAGGATTATTATGTATAATGATGCGGACGTTCTGATCACATAGGCATTTCACTTCCCCCATAAAGGGATAGTTATCAAAAAAGTAAAATTTGGAATTTTTTCTGTTCATATAAAGGCTAGAAAAAAATTTTACTACTCCGTAAACCAAGACGAAGAGAGATCCAAGGAGCAGACCCGAGGCGAAGTCGAATGCATTCATGTAGTACGACGTGAAGTAAAAATATCTGTGGAGTACCTTCCTCTTCACTAGATTGTACAACGGATAACCAAACATTAGGATAAAGGAAGAGACATACTTGAGAAAAAACAGAAAGGAGCTTCTCTTGTTTGTATACAACTTTGCGCACAGGAAGAAGTACTGGATTTTTTCTTTTGTATGTTTTGGGGTGTTGACTGGAAAGACCAAACTGTTAACGAAAGATTCGCACAAGGGGACTTTTCTCTTTGTGTGTTCACGTCGTAGGCTACCGCTGCTGCCACTCCCCTTCCTTCGCCTGTTCATGGTTAAGCGCTCCCCGGAGGTGTCTTTTCCAACGTTTCCCTTCTGGTGGCCAATGCCCTCTCCACCTCTGGGAGTATTAGTACGGCCGACACGGCTGAACTGCTCCTGACCATTCATCTGATTTGTCTCCATTTCACCCGTGTCCATCTCACCTGTGTCCATTTCACTTCCGTCCATATGACTTGTGTCCATTCCACTTGTGTCCATTCCCCTCGCGTCTGCAAAATGCTCGACCACTGTCTGGTTATCCACTGTCTGGTTATCCACTGTCTGGTTATCCACTGTCTGGTTGCCCGCTGCCCCGTCGCTTACTACCCCGCCGCCCACTTCCCGGTGATCTCTATTCTTATCATAAAAACTGCCAAATGCGGAGTGCATAGCAGAGTCCCTTTTACGTCCCTTTTCGCTTACCCAAGAATCATCGCCCTCTTCATTGGAAAGGTAATCCCCCATTTTATTCTGTTCAATATCGCCATACGGATTCGGGTAAGGTTTCTGTCTGCACTCATCATCCATGGGGGTCTCATTTTTTATGGCAAAGTTATAAATCCACTTTACGACCCTTTTGTTAAATCTAAAGGGCACAATAAGCAAGACGAATAAAATCCCCTGCATAAAATGACACCCACTTTTGTATGTCCTAAACAATTTCTTGTCCACCTGATCCAGTTTTCCGTCCTTTACCCATTTGAAAATGATTATGAGAAAGACTAATATGTGCACCATCAGCAGTACCACTTCCCAGGTCAAGCACGTGTTAAGGCATTTTCGATACTTCTTTCGGCATATTCGGCACCCATCCCTTTTCCTCTGCTTGCGTTTTCTCCTAAACAGGGTTTGCTTCGTGTCGTCCTCTTCCTCCATTTGTACGACCAACGCTGCTACCGCGAAGCGTATCCTTTTGCGCACATCTCTGCTTAACTCCCCACTCAACCGTGCTCGCCTGCGCACATAAAGACAGGCTCCTCAGGTAGGGGTGGCCAGTCGGGCGATCTTAACCCAGGGGATGGAAGCCTCAAACGTACGTGGAAAGACGAATGCGCTTGGACGGAGAATCTCCTTATGTTTGCGCGAAAAGGGCAGGGAGAAAAAGAAAAAAAAAAAGAAAATAAATAAAATAAAAAATAAAACAAATAAAAACAAAACAAAATAAAACAAAATAAAATAAAACTATCAAACAAACGAACAAATGAACAATTACGGATAGCTATTCACAAAAAAAGTATTTTTTTTTTCCCCTTCTCCAAAGGTTAAGCGGACTTGTCACAAGAGGGACATCTGTGGGGGTGGCGCCATGTGCATGCACAAAAGGTGGCTGTAGCGTGACCACCGGGGGGACGCGAGTGGTTGCTGAATTGCACCTCTCCAGAAATGGCCACTCCTCCACTTGCTGCGTGGTTGAAGAAAAAATTGACCAATTGACGAGTAGCACTTAGGCTACGTGGCAGTCTGGCAGTCTCGCCGCTTCATCGCCTAATCAGCAGCCGCCAAACGCCACTCGCCAACTGCTAAACCGCCTAACCGTTAAACCGCCTAAGCGCTTCACCCCCTGAAGACAACCCCCGATTGCTCCTGTTCGTTCATTTTTCCCTACTTGCATCCCCATGTGAAGGGGGAAAAAAAATGACCATTAAATGAGCCCCGTTGCGAGGGGCACGCGTTTGTCAGTTAGAACAAAGATAAAAAAAAAATAAGATGCGGAAAAAGGGGCCTGCGAAAGGGCACGCGAAGCAAATACACGGGTCGCCCTTTTGCCCGTGGAGACACATGGGCCAGAAAAAAAAAAAAAAAAAAATTACTCCCAGGGGGAGGGAAGTAAAATTCAAGAATGTGTGTGCACAAGGGGGTGGAGCACACGGTTAGTCATGAAGTGTAGGTCAGACTAATTCGCCCCGCTTCACTTCGCCCCGCATCACTCATCGGCGATATCCAGGATGAGCGCAACGCCGGCGAGCACCCACTTCTCCTGGTTCTCCTTGGTCTTGAGCTTAATGTTGGTGACGTAGGTGGGCCCCCTGGAGACGGTCTTATAAACGGGGCACTCATACACGTCCGTTTCGACTTTGCCCATGCTGACGATCGGCTTGCAGTGAATGACAGGCATGAGGAAGTACTTCTGCTTTGAGCTCGAATCGCAGAGGGTGTTCTTCTCAATGTCGTAGTTGGCGCCATCGAGGTAGAGCCCATAAATGTAAGCACCCTCCTTAGGGTACGAGTGGATATTATTCAGAGATTTGTTTGTCACCTCAATTTGCATAATAATTTTGTCCAATTCGCATTTCTCATTTCGAGAGAGGATTTGTTTTATTGCACTGAAGAAGCTATTCGGATTGAACAAAAGAGAGACATTAAAAACTTTGGGAGTCACTAGCGGGTCGTTGAACCAATCGGAGAGGAAGCTGATCCGTTCTTTGAGGTTAACAATCCAGGAGCACAAATTTCGGTTGCTGGAATAGGAGTTATTCTTCCACAAGTCTGGCAGCTGGTCTTTGTAGAGAGAACCCATTAATGATTCCATTTTTGTGTTCATATTAATTTCGCCTTTAATGGCTAGATGTAGCTCTTTTAGCGACTCTCTCATAATCCCTGTGAGTGAATTCATTAAGGTGCATTCTTGGAAAAGGAAATACTGCAGAGGGGTTATCTGGTCATCGGGAATGGACTTAACCAATTCGTCCACATTAAAATAGACGTTTTCGATTTCTGTTAATATGTCCGAAAGGATGTTAGCAGTACGAACTTCCAGCGTCTCTCCAGTGGTTAGTTCCTCCACGAAGGTGGAACTCTCCTTGACCTTTAACTTAAAAATGTTGTCCAACAATTTAATACTCTCACTTGTCCTGAAGTTCATTTCTGCATGCTGATTCAGGCCATACAAGATGGAAGTCTCGGCGACGATCTGCGTGTCGATATATTTTAAAATCTTATCGTACGCATAGTTACTAGGACTAAACAATTGCACATTTTTAGAAAACGGGATCAGCTGCATCCCCTCTAAAGACTGCTCCTTCATGAAGTAGTTCAGATACGTTTTGCATACCAACATGTCCTTATCATTAACGATATGCCCTCCGTACATTATTTCTCCAAAAATGTATTTTAAGTCATTCCAAGGCACTTTTATAGAATTCTGATTGTCTAAATAGTTGAACAAAACCTTCGCACTGTCTCGAAGATCACTTAAGCTGAAGGGATATTTTATGTTAAACCCTTGAGAACCAAATTTAGCTCTCTCTACAATTATAGAATGGAAATAACAGAGGGAGAATAGAATATTTTTTGTTCGCAAGTCCTTCTCCTCATAGTCATCTGAGGAGAAAAAGGTGAAGGCTCTCTTGAGATTTTCTTTAAAACCTGTTGGTGCTTCGTTCGTCAATTTTATCGACCTCTCCAGGATACTTATGGGGATATTTTTTGTAACCTCTGCTGTTAAGAAGAGACGGAAATTCGGGTGCGACCCTTCCGCGGCGTATTTATCAATCACATTTTCTAAAATGAGATTAAACTTTGCCATCAGATGGATGTTTTCCAGAACTATCCAGTGTCCTTCCTTATGAGCTAGCTCCAATTTAAACAACGCAATGGCTTCCTGTCCTTGTCCCAAAGATACTATGTGCAGGTTGCTGTTTAGAAAAAACTTATTTTTCTTTCCTAGCTGTTCTACATATTTGATAAAATCGGACCCAGGGGTTAGGATAAATAAAATAGGCGTCGTGTTAATCATAAAATTGTATGATGATTCTAGTGTGTCTACAAAGGAGTTCTTCCTCTCCATGATTTCTTCACTGTTTGGCAACACATTTCGAATGTATTTCTCCAACGTTACTGTCACTCTGTCTGGTCTCAACGATCTTATAATGAGTAATTTTTTAAAAGAGTTATTACTTAACTTTTTCCATTCTAGGGGCAGGGTGCATATCTCTGGCTGTATTTCTGAGCACCACTGCTTGAACTTGTGCTGTGCATCTATGTGTATGTTGTTTGTTAACATTTCAAACTCTTTGAATTTGGACAGAACGCATACATTTCTCCAGCAGTCATCAGCTAGCCATTCCTTTAACGGGTTCTGAATCGCTTCTTTGATTCGGGGAGGCTTCAAAAAAAAGTTCAAATAATCCATGCTGAAATCTTTGTCATGAATTTTTTTCTTTTCCAACAATTTGAAGACGAATATACAATTGAATAGCAGCTTGTCCTCTTCCAGCAACCCTCGGTTGATCCATGAGTAGATTGTTTTCCTGAATGAGATGATCAGCTCGTTCATGTGCTCATCGCACAGGTCGTTTTGTTGTTGTTGCTCTTCTTCTTCTCCCTTCCGGGTTGCTTCATCCCCCTCGTCTTCGTCCGCTGCGGCGGTTGCCCATCCTTCCCGTTCGACGCCCTCGCGGAAGTACCCCCTCGAGTCGCCCAGGCTGCTCACCCTCTCGCTGCCCATTCCGCTGCCCATTCCACTTCCCATTCCACTGCCTATTCCGCTTCCCATTCCACTGCCTATTCTGCTTCCCATTCGCACCCCCGCGTGGACGGCCTCTATCGACTTCAGCAGCAAGCTGATAAAAGAATCCAGTGAGTACTGATACATGTAGTTAATGTTGTGCATGAGGATGAGAATGAAATAGACGATGGAGGCCTCGTTCGCCAGGGTCCTATACAGCTCCCTAGTCTTGTTAATCTCATTCTCCGTCGTGATCGAATCGGCCACTTGCTTCTGTATGCTGATGGATGTATCCTTTGTCGTCTTCAAACTGTTAATCAGAGAAATGTTGTCGATGATTGTGGTCGAGTCTGCGGCGGAAAGCTGGTACAAAATTTCGTCCTCCAATTTGTTCAGAACTATTTTGTATTCATTCCTGTTCTTCACGAGTATCTGCTTCTGCTTCTCCAATTCGGGCTTCTCTATATTGACGATGATTGCTAAAATCTGCTCCTCCAGCCCCTCACAAGTCACGCTAAAGTTTATCAGCGTGCATTGGCTGTTTACCTCTGGCTTGAAGTGTGGATTGCTCAGCTTCGTTTGCAGGATTAGGTTGAAAAAAGGGGCCGCCTTTCTTAAGCTTCCCTTCGAAAGAGCTTTACTCATGCTGTGCGAATTGGAAATTTTTTCGTAAGCTTTCTCATGGTCCTGTTTCTCCCTCGGGGTGGTCATCATGGACATTTCCTGGGTTGGGCTATCTCTACCGCGGCGGCTGCTACTGCCATGTTGTCTGCTATTCTGTCTGCCGTTCTGTCTTCCGCCATGTCTGCTTTGCCTGTTCGCCATTCTAGGGGTTGTCTTACTTGGTGTGGATTCCTCTTCTTCTTCCCCGTTGTCCTGCTCCTCCTCCGCGGCATCATCATCATTGTCCACTTCTGCATCGTCGTGGAAGCTGCCCCCGTTGTGCTCTCCCGGTCGAGAAGTGTCACCAGCACCGCCTCCCCCGCCTCCAGCGCCACTCTCATAGAATGACTTAATTTTCGAAACTCGACTGATCGCATTGGGATAGTTAAATGGCATCTCCTCATTGTCAATCTTGACGAAGGTGTCATTTCCCCTCTTTATGAATTCCCTATTGAGGAGCCCATCGATAATGTTATCGATCTCTTCGGTGACGTTTTCTATGATGAGGTAGCCACCCCTCAAGATAACACTCTTAACCTTTGCAATAAAATGATCACTGTTGAATTGGAGGCACGTGATGTTATTTCCTCCTTTTGCCTTGAGCCACTTCAGTCCTTGTAACTGAGGGTCGATCAGAAGAGGCCATCGGTAGCAAGTGCTTACGATGAGAGCATTCTCTATGCTTATTCTATCTTCAGGAAGTTTCTCATTTTTCCAGGTAGCTATCTGTATATCCTGCACCATGATATCAATTGGGGAGGTAATTTCACTGATGAGGATGTTGCTCTTCTTGATCTGCTCAAGCCACAGGTTCTTCCACAATTTTACTCGGAAGGAGCTAGAAAAAACACCCAAGTAGGTGATAAAGGAAGAAAGAAGTAGACAGTCTCCATAGATGTATTTCTTATTCGAAATAATAATGGCAATCTCATCAGACCATCTCCTATACTCATCCGATAGCATATTGACCAAATTTTCCGCTCGATTTAATTTGTCTTTAGATTCATTAAATATTTTTATGATATTATTCTTCTCTTCATTCACTTCATTCATTTTAGTTCTTAGCTTCTCTACACTGTCTGTTAGTTCCTTCACTTTATTCTCCAGCACATTTAGCTTCTCCTCTGCGCTGTTCTTATTGTTCGTGGCTTCTTGCAATTTATCCATTAGCGGCTTCACCTTTTTATACACCTCATTATATTTGACAATGTTAACTAGCCAAAGTGCCAAGTACGCACATGCAGATGATTTCGTTTTCATCATTTCGTAGTTAAAGAACTTCTTCTCAATAAATGGTGTCAACAAATGGACCGTTTCTTCTTCCATATTTTCTGCATCGAATTTTTGCAATTTGGATAAAAACTGACTAGGATTGTTCATAATTTTCTGAGCAGATTTCCACGAATAGTTCTTAATCTCCTTCAGAGCGATCAGCACAGCGTGAGTCACATCTAGACATTCCTTCGGTGGGTTCTGTAGAGACTTTAACTCCTGAATGGCTGATTTGGTAATACAATTAACCGCTTCCTTTGCCTTGTTCATTATGGGCAAAGCTTCACTCAATTCATTATCTGCTTTGACCTGAATATTAATCGCTTCTCGAGTAAATATTTCGGTTTTTTTCTTCTCCTCATTTACGATCTGCTGTTCTTTGTTTGTCACCTCCGTTGCTTCTTTCACTTTTTTTATAATTTCATTCACTTCGATTTTTTTCTCCTCTATATTCTTTATTTTCACTTCGATTTCCTTTTTCAACACTTCGACATTTTCTCTGGTGCTGGTGAGGGCTAACAATCCTTTGTTGAGTCTTTCCACGGATTTCTCAATCTCGTATGTCTTCACATGCAGGAGGTTTTTGTAAAAGTATATATATTCTAGGAAAGTCTTCGGTATGACGTAATTGTGTCGGTTCTTCTTCTCCAGATATATCTTGTTCATCTCGTTTGTGCTCGTGTGCACGTAAGCCATATGCTCGCAGATGCTCTTCTTCAACCCCTCCTCGATTTCTAATTCGCTCAAAAATTTGTTAGACACATTTACGAGGGCTTCATATGGCCAGGGTAAGAAATACACAAATGAGAAATTGGACAAGAAGGAGGGAAACTTCGTCAGACGGTCTCTATATAAACTGCTAATAGGAGAGTGGGTCACTGCTACCTTGAAGTTTCTTTTTATTTTACTTATGTAGTAATTAAACACATCTTCGTTGCTTTCTCCGATGTTTAGATACTTTATCTGGTTTCGGATGGAGGAGAAGATTCCCAGATACTCATCTTTGGTGAACAAATCGTTACACAGCCCGGTGGAAGTCAAATCGTTTATATACGGCAGAAAGGAGTCGAGGATATTTTGCTCCTTCAGCATCAGGACGTGGACGTTGCCCGGCTTGATGGCGCATTTGAGGTGGAACTCTTGCAAGTCTGCTTTGAAATTGCTCAAATCGTAGTTATTGTTTGTCGAAATTTGGAGCAGGTTAAGGTTGTTGATGAAGATGCTCAGTTTCATTAGGGACTGCTTCCCCGATCCTCCAAATCCGATGAGCATGAGGTGCGAAATGTCAAAGTCTAAGATGCGACATATCTTGCATATCTGTACAACGGCGTAATCGAAGAGGACGAGAGGAAGCTCCACGTGCGAGATGTTGTACTCGCTCAGCTTCTCCGCCAACACTTCCTTCAGCACGTGGAATTTCTTCACCCCCAGGTACATTTTGTCCAGACCGTTTCGCACCGAAATGAACGAGGTGAATATATTCTTGCGCGGGTCGTACGGCAGATTGGAAGCGTTGCACGGGTTGGAAGCGTTGGCGGCGGCGCTAGAAGCGGCGGTGGGACATGCGGTCATACCCGCGGTAGTACCTGCCGTAGTGGCATTCAACCCCCGTGATGCGCTTAGCCCGCTTGAGGCGAGCGCGTCCCCATCGCCGCGAGTCACGGAAGTCTCGCTAATCTCACCGCTAACTGTGCCGCTAACTGTGCCGCTAATATGGCTAACCTGGGTCACCTCCCCGTCGAAGGAGACCCGGTGGCGACCCAAGTCCTCCAGGCAAAACGGGAAATGCTGCTGCAGGAGGCGGTTGAAGATCTGCGTGAAAATCTCAATGTGCTCATTCGATGTCAGCTTATTCATATACGCATGCTGCATCTCGTGGAAAAAAATCATCAAAAATTTGAAGCTCCCTCCATTGTACAAATCCGGGTTCGTGCACTTAATGATGTTGTGAAAGGCCCCATGGATATCATTCAAGTTAAACAGGTAGTGTGGAGCCGAGTTAGACAAATTGAAGGCAATATTCTCTGTGACCCTACTGTACAGATCGTGGGAAAACGAAATGATGTTATTAAGGAGACCCTTCACTGTGTCGTCAAACTTGAGCAAGTGCTGCTTTAGGATAACCTTGTACACGTTATCAAATGTCTTCAGACTAATGTCTTCCATATTAATAATTTGAAACTTGTTTTGAATCCTTTTGTCGATAAGTTTATTAGCATTATTATTTACCGTTCCGATAAAGAGGACGTCATGGATGAATTTCTTCTCGTCCAGATTCTCCCTGTCGTATATGAGCCTATACGTTAACAGCTGTCTTAGAAACTCCAACGTCTGCTGCGTGTCACAGTTGTCCTTAGCCGTTATGTTCATGTCTTCCAAGAAGAATATGTGCCTCTTCTGATTCGGGGGCCCATAGGTCCTCGTGTTCCTCTTCTCCACGTTGTTCTCGATTATCTTCTGGAGGACAAACGAGTTTGTATAGTAATTAATACTTATCGTCGTGTGGGTAAATTTTTCTATATTCATATTGATGTTGTTGCTTATACATTTTGTCTTCCCCGTTCCGTTATTTCCATAGACGAGGATTGGCTGATTTCGGTCTAGTGAATACTTTATCATTTTCTCCGTTCGGATCAGCTCGATCGTATTTATGTACAATTCGTCGTAGTTGTGCGGCAGCATGCTTTCGATGTAGTTGTTTTCGCTTTTTTTCTTGTGCTTCTGGTTCGGCTTGGCATGTGAGCTGCCCATTTTGGTCGCTTCCTCCATTTCGCCAATCTCGTCTACTTCACCCGCTTCCTCCGCTTCGCCCTTCTCCTCCGCTTCGCCCGTCTCGTCCACTTCGGCCTCCCCCGCCTCCGCCATTTCCTGCCCGTAATTCCATCGCATCTTCTGCAAGAATAAAATGTCGCTGTCTAGGTATTCACTCAGGTGCTTCCACTCATTGTCGTATATATTATAAGTATAATTGCAGCAATAGTCGCTACCCATCTTCACCTTCACATTCGATTTCACATTATTGTTCAGAGCATTCCTTGCGTTCATTAGTTTGTCCTCCACGATTAGGTTATTCAGAACCCACATGTACGAGTTCATGAAAAAGCTGTTGTAGTAATCTTTCAGAATTTCATAGTTATAGTTAATTTTGTTTACCACGTTTTTTTCGTCTCCGTTGTGTGGGTCTTCCGGCTTGGCACTTCCCAGGCTGGCCGCTTCGCCTGTTGCTTTCCCGGTTGCTTCCCCTGCCGCAACCGCTGCTGCGTCCCCTACTTCGTCTGGAGAAGAGGACCCGTTCCTCTCCTCCATCGCGTCGTCCTCCCCCTGGCGATTCTCAATGCTCCGTATCACATCGCTAATGTATTTGTCATATTTGACCAAAAAGTAGTCGATATAGTTGCAGATCGATCTGACAATGTCGAGGTTGGACAACTCGAAGGCGAACTTACACTGCTTCCTCAGCATATCAATATTCTGAGCGTAAAATATGTTAAATAGATAGTAAAACTCCGTCTTGGCCACATGATTTGTTAGTAAGTTTATCCATGAGCTGATGTACAGCTTGTAACTTATGTCTCCTCTGTTTATGTATAGGACCCCCCCTCTGCTGACGGTAGCGGGAGAGGCATACTTCATATTGGTAATTTCAAAGAAGAGGTGCATCTCCTTGGTGAAGGGGATACGTTCGTTGCTCACCAGGGTTAGCACTTTGTTGTCATCCATGACTGTGTTCATACTTTCTATCCACTCCGCATCGATGTTTCCATCTAGAAGGAGAATCTTATGTTTGACGCTCTCTGTGTAGGGGGATATATTTCTAGACATTTTCCTCATTATAGAGGAGAGAGCACCATCAACCCACTCGTTGTTCTTATTTAAGTAGCCATACAATTCGTAAGACTCGATCGATTTAGGGTTAATAACCTCGTGTAAGCATTTTTCGCTAATTCTGTTGAGGGTACTTATCAATATTTGAATAACGCTGGACTTTCCGCAGCCGTCTTCTCCTAAGATGAAGACGCAGTGGCGGACGTCCATCAGGTCTTTGAGCTGCTTTACCTTTAGGATGAAGTTGTCGTCGATTTGGAGGTTGGCGTCTCGGAGGCTGCTTCGTATGGCCTCGTCAAGGGTGATGATGCGGTGGGGAGGCACTTCCTCTGGGGAGGTTACTTCCTCTGGTGAGGTTATTTCCTGTGGGGAGGTTATTTCCTGTGGGGAGGTTATTTCCTGTGGGGAAGTCACTTCCTGTGGAGAGGTGACTTCATAGGGGGACACCACTCCTGACCGGCCCATCGCTAAGCCATCCCCAGGGTGCGACGGATGATCCGTGCCCTCCACGGAGACCTCCTCCTTGAACATATCCCCACAGTCAACATTCGGAAAGAGGTCATTCACAAGGCCCAGAAAAATGGGAATATCCTCATGAGTTATCTTAGGAATGTTAAAATCTTTGAGTGCCTTCATCAGAATGACTTCTTCATCATAGTTGCTGTACTTCCTTTTTAAATTACCAGCCTGAATTAGGACCACCTTAACAGCACGGAGACCCCAATCGTAGTGAATGTTCTTTCTAAGCAGTTCCTTGCACAACTGATACAGTTCTACAAACTTGTACGATAGTTTATTTGCCTTAATAAAACCAAAAGACATTAACATATTTTCGCAGATAAATTTGATATCAGGTACAATCATGGAACAGGACCTAAACAGATTTTTTAAATTTTCGGGTAATTCAGTCCTGCCTGCATATCCTGGGTTCATGGTAATAAAAAACCCACATGTCTTCTTCAACACAATTTCATCATCGATAAAATGGAAGACCGTTTTTTTTTCCTTAATTGCATCAAAGATACACTTAATCTGTGTGCTAACTACTGATAGGACTTCTATGCTGATCCGATTGAACTCGTCGAAGCATCCCCATGCCCCTGTCTGGGACAGGCCAATACAAATCTGGGACATGTTAAAATAATTCATCTGATTGCTGCAATTGAATATAAATATCGCTATGCCAATCGCTTTGGAAAGATCCTTGGTCGTTTCTGTCTTTCCCGTTCCTGCCGGACCAGCGGGGGCTCCTCCAAGAATCAGATTCAGAGCCTGCGTCAGGGTGATGTAGCACTTATCTGTCAAAGGGGTAATAACCAACTTTCCCGAATTCCCAATATATTCATATAGATACTTCGTCTTAAAATCACACAACTTTATTTCGCAGGTGTAATTGTTTGCCTTCTTATCGTAAACCCAGTAATACTTTAGCTGTGCTTGCCAGTCGAAGCAAGTCCCGTCTGAAATTTTTTTCTTTATAAAAGAGATAATAACATCTCTCGTGTGGACGTCCAGAATAATCAGCGAAAGCAACTTGGTCCTGATGTTGCAATCTTGTGTCCTTTCCACCAACTTAATCAGTTTATTTATCCTTTCGATTAGTATTTTCTTATACTCGACGAAGGCAGATTCGTTTCCATTTTCCAGCTCATCGAAGCATTTGTTGATTTCGTCCGTGACAACTATCTGGTTGCATGTACATACCACTTGGCTGATAAAGTTCTTTATCATCGTCTCGTCTCTGTTTTGTTCGTCCAGATTTTCCGAGCAGATCTTTGCCTTCTCCAGGATGCTCCTAATCGTTACCTTCAGGTGCGTTTCTAGATCCTTCAGGTAATTCTCCACGTTGCCCCGCAGCATCAGCTCCGTGGGAAACTGCAGGTGTTCGTTTTCGATGCTGTACACGCCTTTCGCGATGAACTCCGTCGCAGGGGGGGTGGTACCATTCAGGCGATTCCCACCATGCAGACGTTCCCCATCATGCTGGGCCTTCTCTCCGAGGAGCCTCTCCCCATCCGCTTCTTCCGTGGCGTCCTCCTGTGTGGCTTCCCCTTCCGCCGCTCTCGTCGCTTCCATCGCCCCCATCGCCCCCATCGCCCCCGTCGCCCCACCAAACTCAATCGTCTTAATCGCGTTAAACACATCATTCACGTAGGGAAGGATCTTCATGGGATTCTTCCCATTGCTCAGGATGTCTAAAAGGGCTATGTTGGAGAGAAAGTAAAACCGAGGAAAAGCCTTCTTCTTCTGATCCAAGTAATCATTAAGAGCCTTCTCACACAATTCGATGTTTTTGAAAAATTTTCGGAGCACGTAAAATAAGTCCTCGTTCAGGCAAATCTGTAACACGTTCTTTTGCTCATAAGCGTTCAGGATGATTTCCTTGTACTCCTGTTCGATGTTAAAAAACATCCTACTCTCCTGTGGGAGCTGCGAATGGATATCTTCTGAGTTGAGATAAATCGGTTGTAGCCTCTCAAATTTGTTCAGAAATTTTCTCCATATATTAATCACCTCGTCTATTCTTTTCAAGTTCTCCTGTGTCTTTAAAATGGTATCCTGGATGAACAAGATGTATTTCTTCTGATTTATGAAGAAGAGGATCTCCGACGTATGCACGTCTACAATTTCGAGGATCATGTCCATATTCGTTATTTGAATGTAAGAGTTTTTGTTCAGAAACTCAAAGTTCATTTTTCTCCATATTTGGCTTATCTCTCTGATTTTGTTTTCAATTTTTTTTTCCTTCTTGGCTTGCTCCATCACGTCATGCACGGCTTCCACGTGCTTGTACAGTTTCAGGTCGAAGAATCCCTGCAGCGTCAGCTCTTTGTACTTCACCTGCAGGTACTTCTTCGGTGGGTTCTCCGCTACGTCACCGCTGTCCACTGCGTTAGCATTGTTCGCCAAGTCAGCCTTCTCCACTACGTCCCGACTCTCCATTGCGTCAACACTCTGCACTGCGTGCCCCCCCGACAGGTTCATAATAATATTCCAGTGGCGATCAAAAATGCAGTCATTGTTCAAATCGACGAGAAGCGGCAGGATGGAGGAAAACTTCTTCAGTTCCTTTATGATATGCTCATACACTGGCAGGCTCTTCAGCTCAGACAGATTCTTTCTCAAATACTGTGAAACAAAATCGATTATATATATGTTCCCATTTACGTCGATGTCTGTCCATAGCTTTCCCTTTTCCTCCTCCATGAAAAATACAATACTGTTAATAACGTCCCACAGTTTTTTCACCTCTTTCAATTTCTTGTCCAACTCGTTCAGCTCATCAAACACGGTGATGTCCAGCTCGAAAAGGATCTCCAATTCGTTATGATACTTCTGCTTGTCTCTATACATTTGGTAACTTCTTCTATAGTCGTTAATCTTCTCGTAAGGGTTACCCTGCATGTCCTTTGGCTGATTGGGCATATTCTGCAAAATGCCATTCTTTAGTTTCTTCAACTCATCCTTAAACAGCGTTATCTCCACTTTGATATTTTTAATTTCCTCATTTTTGTACTTTATTATTTTCTCCTTTATTTCGTTGTACTGTATTTCTACCCTCTCCTTATTCCGGTTGATTTCTTCGAGCACTTCGTTGTGTTTGACTGTTATGCCCAACTCTCTTAGAGTCTCCATAATTTCTCTCGTTTTCTGGAAAATCAGGGGGATGATTTTCCTGCTCAGCTTGACACTCCGCAGGTTCCTCATCAGGTTGTAGAAGGCGTCCTTCTTGCTCTTCTCCAGGGGGGAGGCGCCATCGATGGATGCTGTCAAGCTGTCTGGAGAAGCCACCCCGTCTGAGGAAGGAAGCCCGTCTGAGGAAGGAAGCCCGTCTGCGGAAGGCAGCCCGTCTGCCGAAACCACCCCGTCTGCAGCAGTCACCCCGTCTGTGGCAGTCACCCCACCGCTCAACTGTGACACCCCCTTCTTGGGCGGGCCGAAGAACTCGCTCACGCCCGCGGCCCTCAAGTTGCTCAGCACACCCTCGTAAAAGGCGCTCACGGCGTAAATCACGTCCCGCACGAACACCTGAAGGTACTCACTATACATCGAAATGTCCTTCTGAGAGAAGTTTATCAATTTCTCCACGAAGTGCTCCGAGTGAAATGCCACGAAGTTGATGACCTCATAACTACGCAAATAGTGGAAGCTGCTTAACTCGCTCTTCAAAGATAGAATCAGATTCTTATACGCCAACACATTTGGGAACCGATGCGTAATGTTAATATTGATCAGTTTTAATGTGTCCCGAAAGTTATTGTTAAATTCGAAGTAGGTAGGAAAGAGAGACACTTCATTTTGTGTCTTAAAATGGAGGAACTCCTTCTTGATATCCTTCTTGCAGATATGTTCATACTTCTTTAACCCTTCTAAGTACGCATAACATCTGTCTATGGTCGCTTCGAAATATTTCTCAATGCAACTTTTTTTCTGATTGATCTTTAAGCTGAGGAGAATTTCGTTAACGTAGTCTCCACTCTTTATGTCGATCCGTTTGATACCTGAACAGAGATTCATAAAATCGTCTATCCATTTGTAGAAGATGCTTGTTATGCTGAGTGATTTCTTACATCTTAATTTTAAGTCCAGACTCAGTTTATTCTCCACAAAATTTATCTTGATGCTGAATAGGGGTTCATTTTCTCTCTCCGCTCTTGTCATGATGTTGTTCAGATTTGAGAAAAGAAAATATACCAACTGGGTTACCCTATCCGTAACTATACTGTTTACGAATTTTACGTAATTTTTCCACATAGGGTTATTCTTCTTTATTTTTAGAAGATCAAAGGACTGCTTCATACTCATGTGGATGTTCTTAAAATCGTCCATTAGTTTCCCCTTCAACAATGCCATATTATTCTTGTAGTTATTCAGATAGTTATATATATCTTCATGCTTCTTTCTCCTCTCGAGGATTGCTTTCCTCGTCCAACTATTCGTCACACTTAGGATAGAAATCAAGTTACTATGAACAAAGGAGATGTTACTAAATATTTCTGTCATGTCTCTGTCTACCATTTGAATGTAGTCGAAAATCGGTTCCTGTGTCCACCTTAGTTCAGTCACTCCTCTCAGTAACGTGTTCTTCACACTAGACAACTTATCATGAAAGAGATCCTTCTGTACAGGCAACGTTTTAGTAACGATATCGTTATACCTCTTCGTGATGCTGCTCAGAGTATGGATGAATTCTTTAAATCGGTTGGTGCTGTTATAGATTTTTAGGCACTCCTCATTGACGGTCAGATTGTTCAGGTAGAGATTTTTCACATTAGATATAAAGAGGAAGATATGCGGATGGAAGTTCACGTAAAATAACTCTCCCTTTTGCTTAAATATAGGTTCATTTAGGAACGTATTCACCACGTCCATCGTTTCGGTGAACCATTCCTTGCTCATGTTCCCTATGTATTGACTAATCTTCGCAGTGATGCTTCGGTACAGCGCGTTTATTTCTTCCGTCTTCTCATCTTTGAAGTTTAGAACCTTGACAATTTTCCGCAGCGGGAAGTACTGCTGCTCGATTCGCTTCAGCAGCGACGTGAAGAGGTTCACCACTTCGCAGAACAGGGGCGCGTTCCGGTCGATGTGCAGGTGGATCAGCTGCTCAGTTGGCAGTTTCGCCGTGTGAGTACCGCTTGGACTGACACCACCGATGAGCTCAGCTGCATTGACACTACCAGCGCTAACCTCGATAGCCTCGCCTGAACTACCACCACCACCGCTAACCCCGCTAACCCCGCTAACCCCGATAACGCCGCTAACCCCGTTAACCCCGCTGATCTTGTGAACCGCCCCTCGCTGGGTCGCACCCTGCCCCAGGAAGACGCCCCTGTTCTGCGCCACGATGGTCATATTCTTGATGAACAAATTGTCCACGAGGATGAACTCCCTCTTGAGGTCCTCGCAGAGGAGAGAGGCGTGCCGAACGAGCTCTACCTCGATGGCTCGGAGGTCTCTCAAAATGAGAAAGGAGTTAAGAAGTTTGATGTTCTTCTTCAAATCCGCGTCAAAGGAGTGAACCAGGACGCAGATGAGTCGCTTGTTTAGCTCCTTCACCTTGTCCTCAAACTGCTTGTACTTGTTTATAAAAATCGTTTCCTCCTCATTCATGATCTCGTGGTTAATGTCTAGGAATGTCTCATTGATGGTGTTGAATTCGCGCAGGATGGTGTGCACCTCCTCCGTTAGCTTCTTCCCCTTGTCACCAGGAATTTCGATTTTCTCCAACTTCATATACGTTTGGTAGATTTTGAGGTATTCGATTAGGAGCCTTAGTTTGTAGATGTAGAGACTTACGGAGGGGAAGTAGGCGCAGTCCTGCTCCGTTTCGTCATTCTGTGGATTGGACGTATTCTGCGCATTCTTCGAATTCTCCGCATTATCCGCATTATCCGCATTCTGCTCATTATGCGCATTTTCCTCATTATGCCCAGTCTGGGCACCCCTCGCTGGGCTGCTCCACCCGCAGGACTGACTCAAAGATCGCAGCTTGGCATTCTTCTCCCGGTAGATCCTAAACAGGTACAAAAAGTTCAGCAAAAAATTCAGAGTCCCATACAGCTTGCTCTTCAGCACATCCACGCAGTTATAAATTGAGTTGATAATTTCCGGTGTGTTCATATTCTGCTTGCACGAATTTATGAGCACCCTGGAGAGGAAGTCAAAGACAAACTTGCAGTTCTTAATTAAATACTCCGACCGGTCCAGTGACAAAGACAATGCATGCACAATCGGAGCGACGAACACATTTTTATTCTCAATTTCTTCTCTGCTACTTTCCAGTTTCTGCAAAAAGTGAATAACTGGCTTCAGATGTGTATACAGATCGAGGACTTCCATTTTCAGATCCACAATTTCTCTCCGAATATTCTCAACGATATTCTTGTAGCTGGAGTTTTTCTTCCTTTCTAAGATAGTGTGTACGATCTGCTTGAACTTCTCCTTCTCTATTTCGCCATACAGAAAGTTGATGTCTTCATTCTTCTGTTTCAAACAAGTCAGAAAATCTTCACAGCTTTGGTATCTGCTCTTTTTGTAGTTTACAAAATTTCGTAAAATGACGTGGTAACATTTGACGAAGTGTATTAAGTACTCTTCCACGTGGTTGATGTCGTCGTCTTCTTCCTCTTTCTCTCCAGATGGCAAAAGTGGCAAAGTCAATTTCTCCTGTAACTCTCCATAGATGATCCTCAAGTTGAGCAAAAAATTGTTAAACTTTTTTTTCATTTCCTTCAACAGAGAGGAACAATTGATTTCGTCATTTTTGTTCATAAAATTGGAGAAAAAAATTTCCAGAAATTTCCTCGTCACATTTTCTGCATCATTGTTCATTTCGAGGAAGAGTGGTTTCCTACTTTGTGTCGTTTTGTAAATGATTAAATATTTTTCATTTTTTTTTTTTTTTTGTAAGTCTAGGATGGATGCGTAAAATTTGATCGTGTCCTTTTCGTTAAATACGAATAGACAGTCCTCTTCACTCTCCGTGAACTCGTTTAGAAGCTTCACTGCGTTTTCGTCTGCTCGGATGCTGCTGAGCGCGCCTTCCTGCAGCCCACTCCCCTCGGGGATGAAAAAGGCCACCGCGCTTAATAACACTTCCTCCGCCTCTTCGGTCGGCGCGCAGTCGCCGCCGTTCTGCTCCTCCATCTTGTTCATGGGGGGTAGCGCCGGTGTGCTGGCTTACTACCGCGTAGTGGCGCGTAGTACCGAGTAGAGCCGCCTATTACCGCGTATTATCGCGTATTGCGGCGTACCACCTTGTCTGATCAATCGGCACGATTAACCGGTCGTAGCTAATCAGGGCGATGCCGCGCCTCCTCGCTGCACTGCTCATTTTTGGAGACCGTCCCCCGGTGGAGGGTCGCACAAACGGGCACACGCCGTCAAACCTGCGAGCAGTGAAAAATACTCGCCGGTCCACAAATTCGCAAACGTGTGCATGTCCGCAAGGAGCGTCACCCTTGCATTTTTTCCCTACAAAGTGTTTAGTCAATTTTGTGACCGTCTTTTTTTTTCTCACCATCTATGTGTTATTCGGTCGTTTTCTCCTCAGACCATTCTTCCTGTCGCATCGTATCGTTTTTCTTCTTTCCGTCCGTTTTGCCTCGCTTCGCTTTGTTTGTTTGTTTTTTTTTTCCGCCACACACATATGCGCCTCACGGGTGTGTCTACTTCGAGCTACGTTTATATCCTTGTGCGAAATGAACCCTTCCCATTTTCAGCCCCTCGATGAAGCCCTATTTTTTTTCTCTCGGAGCGGTGTGCACCATAATCTCCCTATGCGCGACAAGCGCCATTTCGCGTCCATCCTTAGGCTTCACCGCTGAGCTATACACAAAGTGGAAAAAAAAAAGAATGGGAATTTCTAGGGAGCAGGGCATATGGACGCATATCCCAGACGGGGGCTCTGAACGGCATGTCCGTAGGTACTCCCGAATAGTATTTACATATTTCTAAACAAAACGGTTTGGAAGCGATACAATAAAAAAAAAAAAGAAGGGACTATCCAGATGGCTATTCAAACCTTCTGGGATCACACACACCCCTCCCCTCTTTTCGATTCACCTATGCACACCAATGGGTGAAGTTTGGAAGAGAGTTTTCTCTCCCCCAGCGTAGGAGGGGACCACACTGCGCGGAAATATACATTTTATGCATTCGCTCCAAGGGGATACATCCCCATCGTGGCTGATGGATTTACTAATGAGAGGCATTCCTCCCTTGTTTTGTCCTTCCCCCTTTCCATGACGCTGTCAAGGTTATGTGACTCTGTCCAACAGGGTAAAGCTTTTCCCCTGCCAAGAGGTCTATCTTTTCTCCTCATTCGCACAATGAACATGAACATTCGGTTTAGTCATCGGCCGTCTACACGTGTGCTCTCCTAAGGTGACCTCCACATTTGTCTGCACAGCGTAATAATGCGTGAGTGTGCCCTTTGAGAGGATACATGAGGATGACCCACCAAGAAATCAGCCCATTCTCGTAATTTCGCTCTTTGCATTTCCACCCAATCTGTGATCCTCCCCAGTATGTTCCATTTTCCTGCAAAGTATTTCACTAGCGTGGTATTGTGTCAAATGAGGAAAAAAAAAAAAAAAGCAGAGTTCACTTCTAGTTAGCTAGAAAAAAAAAAAAAATGACCTGTTCAGGCGATTTTCAGCGGCGCGGCTAGACACCTGTTCATTGTTGTTCAAATTGTTCATATTAGTTTGGCAAGAAGCCACCTTGTGCGCAATTTTTCGGTAAAAAAAAAAAAAAAAACTAGCAATCGAGGATGTTCCACAGTTGTTTCGAAATATGAGGAACTTTCGCACGGGGAAGGCTGCCCCTATTTATCCCAAACAATGCTCTGATATGACATTCGACCCAAATATAACGTCGCGAAGATGAATTTGAAAATAAAGCTACAAAAGAGGAGGGGCGAAGTGAATACAAGCCTGTGCATCGGGCTGGACCCGGATGAAGCTGACATAAAGTTCTTCATGCAGAGTGAGAAGCAAAATGGCTACCACAGTGTCAAAAAAAACCTAAGCAATGATGGTAGTAGTAGCCAGGGTGGACTGTTCACCCCACAAGTGGGGGGACGAATTCTACTCGCAGAGACGCCGCCAAAGGAGGCACAAGAAAGGGACGAATTTTTTTACTTCTTCAATCACTTCTGCTTTTACATAATCAATGAGACGAAGCAATACGCCCTGGCATACAAAATGAATTTCGCCTTTTACCTCCCATATGGTTCCCTCGGAATAGACGTCTTAAAGAACGTATTCGATTATTTGCACCACCTTAACATTCCAACCATCCTTGACATAAAAATGAATGACATTGGCAACACAGTGAAGCATTACAGGAAATTCATATTTCACTACTTGAGGAGCGATTCGTGTACAGCTAACATTTACATGGGTACCCACATGCTACGAGACATCTGCCTTGACGAAGAATCCAAACGACATTATAGCACCTTCGTACTAATTAAAACGACCAACGAAGATTCGCACATATTTCAAAATAGACTTTCCTTCGATGGTAAAGAAGCGTATGTAGTAATTGCAGAAGAGGCACAGAAAATGGCCAAGCAGTTACATTTGGAAGAAAATAATGAATTTGTTGGCTTCGTTGTGGGCGCGAACTGCTATGATGAAATAAAAAAAATAAGAGAGCTTTTCCCTGACTGCTACATCTTAGCACCAGGGGTAGGTGCCCAGAATGGCGACTTGCGAAAAATGTTATGTAATGGTTACTCCAGAAATTATGAGAGACTGCTCATCAACGTTGGGCGCGCCATAACGAAAAGCGGTAATCCGCAGCAGGCGGCCCGGGAGTACCATCATCAGATTAAGGAGGTCCTCGCGGAGCTCCAGGACTGACGCGCGTGCACGTGTAACTTCGTCATTGTGGAAATTCCGAGATGTGACTTCTGCTCCAGTCCCCTGCGTGAAGCACACTTTTTTCTATGTAAATTTTCCACCCGTTGGGGTATTTTCCCCGATGTGGCCATTTCCAGAGAGGCACCCTGCGTGGTGCTAATCGTATGCAAAGGGTAGCTGTGGAGCGGCCGCACCCATCTGCGTCATGCGTTACGCGGAAGTCCCACCAAATGGCGAAATAACGCATACATTTACTCCACAAGGGCATGACCACTCTGCTGTGCAGGCGTAAAAAAAGATCCCCAGTGGGAAAATGGAAAAAAATTGCACACGCGCATTAATTTGTTGCCGTGAAAAAAAAATAAATAAAAAATAAAATAAAAAAAAATATGAACAGGTCATGCGAAAAAAACGCGTAAACCAATTTTGGCTGTTTTCATTCCTAACCAACTAGGCCCATCCATATGTCATGCCCCGGCGGGAGCGTACAGTAAATTCACCTCAGTCACCCAAGAGGGCTGCTTCGTATGGTTTCCCTGAAAGGCTTCTCCGCGTGGCCACCCAACATGGCTCCTTCACACAACTCCTCAACACGGCTGCTTCACATGGCCACCCCCGCCCCAAAATAAACGGACTGGCCATACTTATAGGCTAGGTAACTGGTTAGTGAAAAGTACATGACTCGGAAGATGCAGTAACAGCAGGAAATGCTGCACCAGAAAATGGTGTAGAGCGCCCCCCCGAGGAGGTAATACAACGGGCTGATCATCTTAGGGAGGGGGGCCAAAATCGTGGGGAAAGGTTCGCCACTAACACGCTGGTGTGCTAAAGTTGGTTCTCTTGCTCATGCATCCAACTTCGCCCATTCGCACCTTTGTAGTTTATTCTTCTGAAATTTGAGTGGCCTCTGGGGAGGGGTGAAAAAAAAAAAATGCACAAAATTGGTCAGTCGTAAGCAGTGGTCACCTTTCAACGTGGCCATGACGGAGTCAGAGGATTGGACGAACACAGCTTGCCTCTTCCCCGATCTGCCACTACAAAAGGGAAGAGCAGGGAGGAGTGGACAAAACGGTCAAGGCAAACTGTGCACACACATAGGGCTGACTCACTTTCTTTAATCTTCTGCCTGAGCTCGTATCTTTTCATCAGTTCCGATACGTCCTCGTCCGATTTTTTTTCGCTTTCGCCTTGGGTGTGCAGGAAGAGGGCGAAAGGAAGGGCAAACATGAGGGGGAAAAAAAAAAGGTAGACGTGGAATGAGGAAAAAAAAAGGGCAACCGCGAAGGGACGCAAAAAAGGAAGGAGCAAAAAGGCGAAAACGGAATGGAAAAAACGTAGTGACACTGAACCAAGCCGGGTGCACTTGTCATACACTGAGTATGCGTCGAGGCAAAACAAAATTGCGGCCGATAAAATGGCGCGACTCCTTTGTGCACATTCGTCTACACAGCGCAAGCCCGCACAAAGGGAACGAAAAGGAAAAAAATAAATAAACAAAATAGAATAAAATAAAATAAAACAAAATAACTGTACAGACATGACAATTGCACAACCCGCGTGGCTATGCTGACCAAGGCGAAGAGGTATAACCTGGAATGCACTCGGAAAAAACGTTACATGCTCAAAAATGTACAAAAAAAAAAAAAAAAAGAAAATAAGTAAACACACTCCTCCGCATTGTCAATCTTGCACTTACCGATGTTATATATTTGATAAAAGTTGGTGGAACAGAAAACCACCTCCAGAAGCCCCCCGATGAAAAACATGCCCACGTAAAGATATGGCAGGCGCTTATACACGTTCACCTTTTTTAAGCTTCGTTGGCCCTTGGAGGAGTGTAAAGGTGTGATATCACGAGTGAGTGGTTAGGAGCGGGCTGGTGAGAGGGGGATGGCAGGTCAGAGCAAGCGAAAGGGAGGCACTCGCCAACCAGATAGGCCCCCGCAGGTGCATTGCGATCCCCCCTGGAGCCCATTCATTGAACATATGCCCTCCCATCCTGCTACCAAGCACGCACATGTGTGAGTGGCATTGGCGCAGAAGGTCACGCTCGTTCGATCGATCCCCCGTTTGATCGTTCGCCCATTCTCTCGTTCCTCCGTTCGATTGTTCCCCCGTTGGCTCGCCCGTCCGTCCATTATTTCATTCGTCGATCTCCCATCCGTTCTTTGCCTCTGCGCAGAGCGCGTAGGCCGACTCCCATCTTACCTCCATCCTTCACGACACGCGGGAAAAATAAAAAAAAAGGGGAAGCAAAATGGAAGCCTACTTAATGGAGTTTATCGAAGCCTTCACACATCTGATTCTTTACATAATGAATATTTACTCCTCAGGTGGGGGAAGTGCCTAACGAGCGAATGAGCCAAGTGGCTTTGTTCGCCTTCGTCCGCATTCGTCTGCATTCGTACACTCCCTCGCGCGTTACGTACATCTGCATATGCCTCTACGCCTACCTGTGCAACTACCTATGCAGGTTTATTTATTTTATTTTTTTTTTTTTTCCCTCTGCAGAGCACTTTGAAAAAAAAAGAAAATTGAATACGCTCGTATGGTAAGGCACGAAAGAATAACCGAAAGTGAGGGCAAAAAAACAGGCAAAAAAACAGGCACAAAAAAAGGAAAAAAATCGAACCGCCTCGGCGCGAATACTCGGAGCGGGGTAGGAGGGAAACCGGGTTAAGGCAACAGATTAGTCCACCAAAGCACACTTCACGATGTGGAGAGAAAAGAATCGCACGTCGAGGGGGTGTCCCCCTGTGCATTTATGTAATCTTCCCCGTAAGGAAGAGAACCCCTCCTGACACGGCCAACAATCCGCACATCTCAACAAGGAGCTAACTAGCCAAGTGGCATAGAAGTCAATACATGCGCGCACGGTGTGTACGTGTTATCCTGCGCAGTGGCTTATTCCCCCCGGCACCACTGCATCAATGCGTCACACTTTCACTCCTGCACTGCTTCGCTTCTTCACTGATTGTCTATGGAGATACCTTTGCCCCCCCCCACACACAACCCCTCCCCACGTAGGCACTGTGCAAATAAACAAGTGGAGGAGTACATAAGACAGGTGAATCGCTGAACCATGGAGAGACAAGCCATTCAAGGAAAAGGCCACAACGCATGGGGAGGGATACCAAATCAGGATCGACGCGAACCCCTCCCCAACGAGGTCGCAGACCATGACAACGCAGACCACCACGACGACAATGAGCAGCACTGTGAGTACCCCCACCCCTCTCCTTCCCCTTCCCCTGCAGGCCCTCTACCCAATCAAGCGATTCATCACAAACAAGAGCCTATATAAATATCGCATCAGTTTGAAGAATTTTAAAAATGAGGTGTTAAAAATTTACACCATCGAATTCGAGCAGTTTCACCAATCACCCAAAACGAAGATTAGCTACCCCGCCTTTGAGGAGCTCGTGTGGGATCTCTTCACGTACGTCGAGATGCAGATGTGCGAGGCGTACGGCGCAGGTTGGTGCACCTCTCATTTGGAGCAGCCCACATGCTTTGCGTTGCACACATGCTCCGCGCTGCACACTTGTTGGCTATTCATGCAAGGGGGAATACTCCTAATGGGAGAAAATAAAAAATACAGTTGCGTGAGGCCTCCTCTCCCCACACTGCAGATAAAACGTTTGAAATTTCCTTCGACTTGGTCAAGGACCACGAGACGACTTCCACGACGAGCGAAAATTTGACGAGGGATTGGGAGTTAATATCATACGATAGTAGGGAAGGAAAAAAAAAAAAAAAAAAAAAGAAGCACACGTGATTATTTTTTTCTCCTCTGTGAGAAAATCAGACACGTGCAACGTTGCCCTATGCTGTTATTCGGGTTAATAAATTTTTCCTTTTTTTCGTTCTTTCCTTTTTCTCATTCTTTCCCTCTTTTCATTCTTTCTTTGCCGCCTTCTATACGGACTCCCCGCGCAGCCCTCGATCTGTTTGATAAAAAAATGATCAAAAGTATCAACGTCTTTCAGGACAACGAGTTCAACCCGATATGTCAGGTAGGGCGGTGCTCTCTGGAGATTCGCTCCTGCCTGATACTGCGTAGAATTGGCGTGCCCATGTCTGTTCTCACCGCGCCCAACTCGCTTCTATAATCCCCCCATACACCGCGCAGGTCTACGTGGAGCACAGAAGAGACGCCGCACAGACGGACAGAGCGTAGCCGCGGAGGGTAGTCACACAGGGTATCCCCGCAGAGTAACCACGAAGGGTAGTCGCACTGGGTATCCCCGCAGAGTAACCACGAAGGGTAGTCGCACTGGGTATTCCCGCAGAGTAGCCACGCAGGGTAACCATCCTGCTTTGCCAGCCGGGGCACCCCCCATCAAGAGTACTGAAACAGTTGCAAGGAAATCCACGTGAAGTACTTATACATAATGTACACGGGGATGGAGCCAACAGTCACGATATAATAGTATGCGGCGTACGGATGCATGGGAAAAAAAAAGAAAAAACTGGAGAGGCACACCATGCAGAGGGAAAGTAGTATCAGGCACACTCCATAAAATCCATTTATCGACCTGTCCGTGTGCTTTTCACCATCGGGGGATAATATAATTCTTCTCTCGAACAAAATTTTGAAGTTTCTTTTTTGGTTTTGTCTGTCCATGGTTCGGTGGTCCTACGTGATGAGAGTCGCTTGTCCAGTTGGGGGGGTGTCGTTCGCGCGGCTGTTCGCGCGTCGTTTGCCCGTGGTCGTTTGCCCGTCCTCGTATGGGGTGACTTTACCCACGGGGGGATGGCTAGCCACAACTGGGGAGGGGTCCCATCACCCAACGGTTTGTTTCCGTTTCGAACCTGCAATGCAAAGGGGAGAGTGAAATTTCCCCCAAACGGTTCCTCACTTGAAGAGGTCCTTCTCGAAGAGCGTGTAAATATTTTCCCGCTTTTCCCGTTTCTCCTTTTTCTGCACGTGGTTGAGGGGAAGGGGCAGCATAGTGAGCAGCAGGAGCAGCAGCAGAAGGGGGAGAGGAAGAAGAAGGTATGCAAATAATCGCGCTGGCTCGCGTGCTCCGTGAGGGACGCCCAAAAGGTTCACACGTGGTGAACTGTGCGGGGTGCCACTCTTATGTGTACTTATATATATATGTATATATGCCTACGTGCGTGTGTGCGAATTGCGCTGACTATGGCCTAACATGCATACGCGCGTCACGCAGTTGCAGAACCCCCCGGGAGGCAAAGGCACGGACGCTCAATTTCCTGCTATCTGCTTGGCGAGGCCCCCCGAGGAGGTACCTTATGCTATACTACACTACGAATGGGATGAAATTGTGCTAACTAGGGAATGAGAGAAAAAAAAAAAAAAAAAAAAATCGTCCCCAAGTGGCCTTCTCATAATGGTACCAACGGTGTGGCAATGTGCCTCTCTCCCTTGTGTGTATTTTTTCCTCTGAGTAACACCCTCGCTCCGTACCTCCTTCTGATTCGCTCCGAAAGTCTTGTTCGCAGTCTTCGTGCTTTTGAGCTGCCTGCTTTGGTTGTTCCCCTTCCTGTCGAGGTTAATTTCGAATCGCATTTTCTTTCGCCTCTCCTGCTCACGTTCCCGCTGGTACTCGTACACGAGCTGGCTGTTTTCCTCTGCCAAGGGGGGGGAGGGGAAAGCACCGCAGTGTAAAGCGGCGCAACATCTGAGGAGTGCCACGTTGTAAGTAGCATATGATGAATCAGTGCAGTGTAAAGGGGCACAGCGTCTGAGGAATGCCACGTTGTAAGTAGCATATGAGGAGTCAGTGCAGTGCATCCCCTTCGGATTCCCCAGGGAAACTTAGAGAACCACCGAAAACCTCAGAGAACCTCCGCGCACCCACCCGTGTATTTGGTCAGCGTGGAAATGTAGGCGTACATGTTATTCTCCATTATTTGCAGCTTCTTCATAACTTCATTTGTATTCACGTCGTAGTTAAACTGACTGCAGATGAAGTCAATTTTGCTGCTAATGTTGTCGAAACATATTTGGCTCTGGTTGTTTCTAATGGCATCTTCATATTCCCCGATTTGATTCATGTGGTTTTTAATGTATTCTTCCATTTGAACTATTTTTTTCTTCATTTCATTGCTTTTTGTTAGGAAATCCTTTTTTTTCTCCTCCAGTTTTTTTTGATACTCCTCTAGCTCGTACTCGGCGTTCTCTGTGTCGTCTATCAGCTGCAGGTGCTGCTCCTCCAGGAGGTTGAAATTGTCTATGAGCAGCTGAGAGTTGTTTGTATACTTTGCCATCTTCTGGGAGAAGCGAGACGCGTCGCCCAACAGGGCGGCAGTGGTAGCCTCCCCCGTCGAACTGGCAGCCGCGTCTGTCCCACTGGTTGCCGCGTTTGTCGCCTCCTCCTCCGTGCTAGCCAGCTTGCTCAGAAAACTCTTATACTTGTCCATCTCCTTTATCTTCTCCTCCTTCTTCTCGAATTCCACCTCCAGTTTGCTCATCTCGATGTTAAGCAGCTGCACCTGTTTTTTTTTCTTCTTTTTCCTCGCTCGTATTTCAGCAAATTTCTGTGTTCAGGGGGAGAGATGTGTTGGTGTGTTGATGTATGTGGTAGCGGGGGAGTCTCTCCTTGGTCATCCATAATATGTGTCGTGTTGTCTGTGCAGTGGACGATTGCAAGGTGTCCTCACGCTTCTACACGTTCACACCTCTGCACTGTCACACTTTACACCCCTGCAATTCGACCCCTCTAACCGCGCAGGGGAGACCTACCCGAATGAGCTCCTCCGTTCGCTTAAACTTTTCCACCAGGGACTCCTGCAAAAAGGACGCCTCCTTCTTCATGCTCAGATTCAAATTTTTTATGACCTCTTCTCTTCTACTTGTATAACTGTAAATATCGTCGAGCCTCGATTTTTTTTTCTGCATCAGTGTTCTTGTAATAATGATTTCTTTTTCCAAATTGATTAGCTCTCTTATGTTTCCTCTTCCCCTTCTGCTTTCCGATGGCTTTCTTCCCTTCGTGACCGTCGCACTCCTCTTCGTTTGGATACCTCCACGGGGGGGTCCGTCATTGGTGGAGGCAGTCCGTCCACCCCGAGTGGCCGTCTTCCCCCCATTGGTCTTCCTCTCCCTTATTCTTTTTCTTATATTTTCCATTTCTTCATCCTGGTGCAGGTTCAGGAACCTCCTAACGTTGTCGCTGCGGTGGGGGAAGCGGCGAGTAAAGCGGTCAGTTAAGCGGAGAGCCAAACGGTAAGTGAAGCAGCGAGCCGAACGGAGTAGCCTTGTCTTCCTCCACCAACCGAGGGCAACGTTCGAGTCACAAAGAAGCAGACATGTATTTTGAAACGTGCTGCGCAACACTGAAACGTTCACATATAGCTCACTCTTAACAATGCCTACCTTGAGGCGGAGCCATCATCATCGGAGCTGTGATCGGACGGCACCACTAAGCTGCAGTAGCCGTAGTAACAGGGTTGGGTCTGTGGAGCTCCCGACGCATTCACGTCTCCACCTGGGAGGATGGCACACCGGCAATAAGCACCACGGGAAAAACAGTCCCATCAGTGAGCATATTTGCCATTTATGAGGAAAGATATGCAAATAAAACTCTTTCGAAGTGGTGACAGATACGCGTCTCTCACTTCGATCCGAACTTTCCAAAGGGGCCACTTCACCGATGTGTCATTAGGTTCGGACTCGTTTTTTTTTTTTTGTCCTTTTTTTTCGAACCTTTTTCCGCTGCTATAAGTTTTTCCTTCTCCTCGATCTTGGCGAAATGGGGGAGGAAAAGTGTCGTGCAGGGGTTAGCAGGGTATGGGGAGGAGGACTGCCCTACCAAAGTGGCCCTCCGTATGGTGCCACTCTGCATGGTAACTCCCCAAAAGATGACGCTTTAGCCCAAGTGAGGGCACGGTACAACCAGGGAACCAAGTGGCAAACGTACCCTCCGCCTGGACTCCTCGATGTGTCCTTCCAGGTTCTGGAAATGGAAAGAAATTGAAGTAGCCATGTGGTTCGTCCTAAGCTATTGATGAGGTGCCCACGCCGATAATGGTGATCTCTCTCGCTGTCCTCTCCTCTTTCTTGTCGTCCTAGTTCGGCATTTTCCCCCCATGTCTCCTCTTATAGGACCCTCCTAACAACACTAGAGCTATAGAGCTAACTTGATAAAAATCCTTTTCACTCATCCTGGATGTTGCTATTGTTCGCTCATTTCCACTTCGTATCGGATGGAGAGTGACAGATGCATGGACTCAACACCTGCACACACCGCGCTGAACAGATGAAAGGAGCGACGGTAGGTATACGTCCAGGTTAAGTGGCACCATCTCCCACGCTATGTAGAAAGGGGCAATTCTGTAATGCCTCACTTAAGCTTCTCCTTGTGTTGGGACAATGTTTCCCGCTAGGTGTCTACATCCCGCTGGAGAAGCATCCTCGTCCTAAGCGTCAGAGGGAAAAAAAGAGAAAAAAAAAAGGGAAAAAGAAAAAAAAAAACGAACAAACAAACACAAGTGAGTGCATATCATCACAGACGAGTGTATGCTGCCGCACGGGCGAATGCAGATCGGCCGACGGGGAAAAGGATCCCCCTCTCCCCCCGAAGAAACGCAGGCCAAATGGATCAGACCTCAAGCCGTAGCAGCAGGGGAAGGAGAAGACACACAGAGAAGCGAAAAAAAAAAAAAAAAACACGCACCTCCATGAGTTCGAGTAAAATTTCCACAGATGTGCAGACAGCGCCTCTCCATCTGCCCATCCCTGCAAGAGGAGAAAAAAAAAAAAAAAAAAAAATACAAAACAGAAGAAGGTAGACCAAACAAAAGTGCTCGCATTTTTTCTCGATAGAAAGAACGCCTGTTCCTCCCTCACAAGCGCACACACAGGGAAGAGGCGGCGTCCGAAGTGGTGAAGCGAAGTAAAGAGGACCCACCCACACCCCCAAGAGGAGGAGGAAGAAGAAAGTACACACACACATGCGCAGAGGTGTATAGATTCACGCAGGGGAGCACAGCCAAGATAGAAGCCTAGGTCAGATTGAGAGCTTGAGGTGATCGCAGGTGCGCCACGTGCGGATGCGCCTTCATGTGTAGAAGGGTCCGCATGTGTAAAATCCCCTCCATGTGTTGACGCCCCTGCTGCGCGGTTCCACCCCCACCACGCCTATCTCACTCGTATCTGACGCTTCTTCTCATTGCGCCCCCGTTCAGACCATGGTAGCCCCCCTCAGCGCGGCGGCCGAGGGAGTCGGCTTCAAGGAAGAGCTCGTCAAATGCAGCGCGCAGGAAAAATGCGACTACAAAACGAACATCAAGGTGAACATCGGAAATAATCAGAAGATCCTGCTGCTCATCCGACACAAGAAAGAGGAGTTCTATGTAGTCCTCCATCAAACGAAATTTATTGTGGCATACCCAATGGTCTATACAAACGTGGCCCCACAAAAGTCTGCCTTCAGCTATAAAGAGTTTCTCGAATTAGGAATAGGCACGATAGATGAGCAAAACAAAAAAGGAAAAGACAAGTGTGAGAGTTACGATTTCAGTACCTATGAGCAGATCAAAGTGCCAACCTTTGAAGGGTTCAACGATATTCCCTTCTCGATCTGTTGTTCTTGTTACGATTTGCCACATTCTAACGGTTCTATAAATGACCTATACAAGGCGATTCCACAGAAAATAGAATTAGATTGTCCAGCTACAGACACAATTATCCGTGACCCACTACAGGAGAGACTCGTATCAGTAAAGAAAGCTCTCCGTCACGTTCTCCCAATGTATGCTATGTTCAAATTTAAAAATGAAGTGAATATCTTCCTTGTTTTCAACATCACTGTGATGAAAAAGAAGAAGACATTTTCTGATTACTTCCAGATGTATACTCAGCAGGTGGATCTGGAGAAGAAGACATACAGATATGTGATTAGCGAATCGACCAAACCGATAGAACTCTTTGATGGAAAATACATCTACATCACACATTCATCCTCTGCATTCGATAACGTTTCCGTTACGACACTGCACAATAACTACTTATTGTATCCATTTTACCCTGAGCAGTTATATGGAATAAAATATGGAACGCTAGATTATGGATGTTCATACAATAAATCTCTGAATTTTGAGTGCATTGAGAATGATCAGGATAAATGCAAATACACCGATTCTACTTGTCTCAGTAGGTCTATACTCATCCCTAAACATTACGTGTCTGATGACTCAGATGCTGCTTGTGGCCTGATCGGCTACAATGATTATACTGTCTCCAGATGGGAGACCTGCATCGAACACACTGACTGCATATCGAATACGGTAGAGTCCTATCTTAACAAAGCACAGGAAGTAACCAAAGGGAATCAAGAGACTGTCACCAAACTACCCATTATAAATGGAAAGTACCCTCACTACATTTTTAGGAAGAAGAATTACCACCAAGATTCTTCTACTAATAAAAGGACAGTTCGCTTTTTCAAGGATCCAAATATAGAACACTTCATTGCATATGAATACTACAAGGAGGACCGAACCGAATTCACCATCAGCTTGTCCAACAAGAGGACGGATATCGTAGGGCATGGCATACACCCTCAAGGGGTCTCTCTAAAAAGTGAGCGTATCCACAAAAGAGATGCAGAAGCCCCACTGGAAGAACCAGAACCCCCATACGATGTTACCATCTTCCAGTTAGAGACTCTGAACGAACTGAGGATCATAAACATCCTGTACTCAGATCAGTGTGATGAGCGGAACACACAGAAGTGTGGTGTTCTCGTACATCTGTGGAACCCCTCCATGGAGCAGATAAAAGCTAGACTAAAATTACAGTGCAGCATCAGTTCAAGTGAGAAACATGTCGATGAGAAAAACCTCATTTATGATGAGGGGAAATATCAGTTTTTGTTTTTTTTTAAAGTCCCTTTTCTCAAATTTCTCTCTCTTCGAAACTGCAGTGTGCATGCATATGGGGCTTTTAAACTATACGACGCGCAAACTTATGTCGTTAGGAAGAGGGGAATCATTAGAGAATTTTTTTACCACCAACCTAAAGAGACTAGCGGAATGAAGGTGTACTCGGAGGGCATACAAAAGGTTACCTGCTGTATGGAGGAGCCGCGCATATGCGATCTGAAAAATATCCCCCACTGCATCACGAGGGAGTCGTTGAATGTACTCCACGTCTTCATATTCTTTGTTTTTCTCGTCCTTGTCTTTTTCATCTTCCTCACTGGCAAAATCGGCAAGAAGAGCTCCAACTCGGCCAGTGTTGACGCGGAAAACGCGCCCTACAGGTGAGCCCGCTTTGCGGCATCTGCCACGGCCCTTGCAGACCATACCCCCGGGCAAACCGCGCAAAGCGTCCCACCTTGTGCGCACTCCAAAGGGACATCCCCCAAAAAAAAACTCCATTTGTGTGATTTTTCGAAAAAAAAACTTCAGTTTTGTGACTTCTCCAAAAAAAAAACTTCATTTGTGTGACTTCCGCCAGAAAACAACTTCACTTTTGTCACTTCCCCAATTTTAATTACCAATTTGAAAGCCGAACGAGGCGACGTTGGACACCCAGAACGTGGTGTTCAATCTGCCCTGCCCTGGCCATTTTTTTTTTCTCTTTTCTGTTCACGTGCGGTAGTCTATACCTCATCCAATCAGACATACCAAGGGGGGAAAAAACATCCCCCACTTGTGTACTCCTTCTAAATGGGAACACATACGTTCCTATGTTACTCGCGGGGAAGTCGTCGCGTCACCGGGGCGAAATGCTCAAAAAGGGAAGACAAGAAGGCTACACAAGAGGGGCGACAAAATGGTCCCAAAAAAGGGAAGACCTCTTCCCATTCGAACTTCACCCCTCCGTGCGCAGAGAAAAAAAAGAAAAAAAAAGTGTACCTTAACTGTGCGCCTTAACAGTATCCCTTAACAGTGTGCACCGCGTGGACGCTCGCATGCGAATTGCAACCCGAACGTGTAGAGCTTTCCTTTGGCGCCTTTCTTCAAAATGGAGATGACGACCGCCACACAGGCGAGATAAAAGGGCCTGGCGGGCCCCGTCTCTCTTCTCCTCTGCGTCCGGGGGTGACTGAAACGAGGGTTGTCACGCAGCATGCCGTTCTTTGCTGCTATTTGGGCCCGTCACCGCATCGGCGCATCAACCCACTGTTGTTGCTTCTGTCCTTCCCAGTTGCCACTTGAAGGCACGCACAGATCGTCTAAGGGGGGTCCTCCCGCCCTCATGTCAATCAGATTAACAACCATCCCTGTTGTACTCATCAAAATTGCAACCAATCACATATTTTGATAACCTCATTTCTTCGAAATAGCAACGTTCTTTTTTTCTCATCTGTTTTGGAGGACAGAACCGCTTTCTGCCGTTTGAGGGATTCCTCCCAAATCTGCATGCATGTAGGGTTCTTCTTCGTTGGGGTCATCTGGAGGAAAAATTTCGCCGATGGTGTGTTCCCCGCCGCATGAGGTATGTATCTATTTTGGTTTACTCAATTTTTTCTTTTTTCCCCCCTCGGTGTGATCCTTCACATGCACAAGCGAACGCGTGTTCCAACTGTCCACCTGGCCAGGAGAAGACGATATGCCAAAATGATTTTTTGCTTCAATTACATGGTTCAATTGAATCTGTTACATTTTATTACTTTTTTTTTCTTTTTTTTTTTTCTTTTCAAACACCACCGATCAGGGGAATAGACCATTCGTACAAAATTTTTCACTACGCTCGCCTTCCCGTCTTGTTCTGGTGGGTGTGACCTTCTCTCCCTTTCTGCCACGGGGGGGAAGGCGGAGCAAACGAGCTAGGCAAGGCGATAACGGGCACAACGAAGCAGCTACCACGGTGATCGAAGCAGATGACAAATCGGCTGAAAATCGGATGTAAACCTCCTGCGAACATCCTACAAACGAAGCGCGCCATGCTGAAGCGCGTCGGTGACAAGACAACCCAAACGGAGGGAGACCCCGCGGGGACCCGGGCCACCTCCCCGGCGTCCAGCAACCCCTCTGGCGACGACGCCCGAGGGAAAGACTGGTTTGTCGTGGAAAACATAAGACTCAGAAAACAAATAAAAAGTCTCAAGGGAGAGTATGAAAAGGAGAACAGGAACCTCAGCATCAGGTGAGGGATGCACTTGGGGGGAAAAAAAAAAGAAACTCCGCGGGGGTCCATCCGGTTCTAAGGTGGAACTACTCACCCGACATCCACTCATCTGCCGCTCACTCATCCGCTGCTCACCCCCCCACACGTAGATGCCAGCTGCTCCAAAACAGGCAGCAAATCATCCCCAGCGACAACTTCTACTTACAGTTGGACAAAATACTGCGCAGGAAGCGAAAAGGAAGGAAGTACAAAAATAACGCCACCCAAACGGACATAACCTTCGTGAGCCCCTTCTTCGCCAACTGGGAAAGCTACTTCGAAGATTCAGCGGTGGATCGAATTGCCAGCGATGGGGAAGTAGAAGCCCTAAAGAGAAAAAGAATCGAAAAAGGGGTTAGCCAGATTAGGTACCAGTACACATGTTCGAATGAGGTGCGCACGCCGTCGGCCAAGCGAAGTTCAAACCTCAGTGCAAATCAAAGTGCAAACCTAAGTGTAAACCTAAGTGCAAATCAAAGTGCAAATCAAAGTTCAAACCTAAGTGCCAACCAGAGTGCAAACCGAACTGTCCAACAGAGGAGGTACCCCCCGTGCTGCACACCCCACCCGGTGCCTCCCACTCGACCAAGCACAAACATCTTCAAAGTCCCAAATCACGTCATCCACAAAGACAACATACTGTATAGCCTCTACACAGATAACGATTTAATTTTCATACGGGAAATAGCCGAGGACCTGATCCCGAAGGGGGGGGAGAAGAGGGACGCCGGGGGGACAGGCAACAACAAAGGAACGGATAGGCCATCCCCAGTTGGAAGTTCACATCAGACGGGTGATACAGAGCGAAGACTGTCCGAAAGAAAAGATGTACAAAATAAGTTCAGTTGGATAGGAAATCCCGCAGAAGGGGAAAAGTTAGACGACGTCCTTACACATATGAACGGGGAAAAAAAACCCCAAGTGGAAGAAAACAACGGTGCTTTCGTAGGCTCTCCGGATGAGAAAAAAACGAATGAAACAACTCTCCGTGACGGGGGGCAGACTCCGAAGGGGAGGAACACAGAAGATGAAATGGACGCAGTTAAAAGGGACACTTCAGATGCTCCCTCCAGTGGGGCGATCCTCCCTCATGTGGAAAACAAACACGGGAAAACACGTAGCGGAAGCCGCAGGGGCAAAGGGACGAAAGAACATCCAGCCGAAACAGATCAAATCATAGCAAAAACGGAGAAGTACATTGATGTTCTTTTAAAACATGAAAGAGGGTGCACATCCCCAGAGAGCAGTGGAACGACGTTAACCCCCCAAGAACACACTCCACATGCGAGAGCCTCCCATTCGAAACGTTCACCAGAACGGAGACAAGTACCCACGTGCGAGGAATCACCCCCCTCCGAGGAACCTACACAGAGTGCCACATATTCCTCATCGCGTAGGAAAAAAAAAGAGGCGCCAGCCAGTTGGCAGATGGGCGTTGCCAAGAGGGCTCCCATTTGCTTAGAGAGGAGCACCACGACAAAATCAGAATATCCAGGGGATAATGCAACCGCTCCTCTGTGTGATAATAACCCCCCGTTCGCACGGACAAACAGGAAAAAGAAGAAGAAAAAGAAAAACAGACCAAGTAAACAGATCAGACTGTGTGCTTCTTCCCCATTGACATCTCAAATGGCGACCCGAATGGAACCTTCAGAATGGAACAGCAACCCTCTTAGGGGTCAAGCGCAACGTACTAGTGACGACACCCCTTGGGTGGGGAAAACCTCCTACCCTTTTGTTAAATCTGAGGCTGATTCGTATATCGGACAAGGGACGACATGCCCACCAGATGGGGGAGCCTCTAAAAAAGGACTCATCCCTCTCCTCTGGGATGCAGAACACGAGGGAACTACCCCTCCTCCTCTTGAGGGATGTCACCACAGCATCACACTTAGCGATGCGGAAAGGAGTGCTAACGAAATAAGGAAAATTTCATTGGAGCATAAGAAGCGGGCCTTCCTCTTCTACATGTGAAGGTCACCAAGTGGAAATAATTAAAAATAAAAAAAAAAGGCTGCGAACAAGTTGGAAAGTTTGCGTTGTTTCACTTTTCGGTAAAAAAAAAAAAAAAAAATGGCTGGACAAGGTGGGGAAGGTTTACAAGGATATGTAAAAATGAATATATCTCTTTATAGGTATATATTTTTTTTTCTTTTCTTTTTTTCTTTTTTTTGGGCTACTTCCCCCCGCGGGACAATACACATGGCTGCGAAGACGCCGGGAGTGATTTTCCCCTGGGGTGTGAACAGAACTTCTTGGGGGTAACTAAAAGGGAGGAGAGGGTTGGAAAACAACGTTCCCTCCTCCCCATGTGAGGCAGCTCCCCCCATTTTGGGTTTCATCCTTCTGCCACTTGGACAGACACTGTTCCGATTGTTTCAGCAAACCTCCAAATGGAGCTTCCATAGCAGGGGAGACAAACAAATGCTCAGTGCACTTCCCCCTCTTCATCTTCCAGATTGTCCATTCCCGGATAATCCCCATTGGAGTCATTTGCGAACTGATTATCCTCGCCTCCAGTGAAGTTGTTACTCCTCCTCGTTCTACCATTAACAGTGAATGTACTGGTGGTTCCCTGCAATTCATCATAATTGATGCTTGTCATTGATTTGGCCCTCTTGGGCTGGTCGTGTGACAGCTCATCATCGTCCTCATGGTCCTCGTCTTCCTCTTCTGCCTCCTCCACCCCATGTAGGCGACACATGCTGGAGATTCTTTTGGAGAAAAAGAATGTTGCGAGGTCATCTTCTGTGATGGACCCTTGGAAGTTTCCTCCATCCTCACTGTCCCTGCTCTGTTCTAACTGGTTCGGCTCCTTCGCCTGCCACTCACGTTGCCCTTGTGCATACTTCTCCTTGAGGGTTTCACTCGTCTCTCCCAGAAACTTCGAAACATAGTCCCAGCCGGAGCTGCTCAAAATTTCGCTGCACTCCTTGTCTGGACACACATCGTCTAGCTTGCTAATATGGTTCCCAATAAAAAGGATGAATTCGTTAATTTTTTTTTTAATCTCCGAGGATTTCCATTTGTCCGTTGGGGAATCTGCGGTAGCGGCGGCGGTAGGACTAGTACTACTTCCTTGGTCGGCCAGATCTCCTACCCCCTGTTGCTTCTCCTGCTCTCCCAGCTGCGTGATTTTCTTCACCACCTTTAGCAGCTTCTTGTGCTTCTTCACGTACTTCTTCGCCAACTTGTTCATGCTGTGCTGATTCATCTCCTTCAAATTGCAGCTTTGAATTTTATGCAACACTTCATCATCTGATAATTTTTTTTTTTTTTTTTTTTTTTTAAATGTTTCTTTTCCCTCTTTCTTTCCTCCTCACTATCGACTTGGTCATCCATGTGGCCTTCCATCTGCTCCTCCATTTCGCCCTCCACCATCTGCTTATCTTCTCCCTCCTGGGTTCCTATTCCTTCTCCCCCCTCGGGATTAATGTCCATCTCCGCGTAACGGTCAAAGTATTCATCTTCATTTGCGGTAACTGCATTGTTTTTCCCTGTGGAAAGAGGAGATGCTTCATTCTTTCCTCTCCTCACTCGGGAGCTTTTCCTTCGAGTCATTATTTCACCCTCGTCGTTGGCCATGTTGTACTTCTTAGCAGTATTACTACTACTTCTGTGACTTCTCCTGGTCGCAATGCCGCTCTCTGTTGCCCCTGGGGCACCCATAATACCTTTGACGGCTTGTTCTCCATCTTCTTTACTGCCAAAACTTTTGTTTTCGTTGGACGAGGGGCACTCTGAGGCCTCTCCACCCCCCGGGTGGTTGTTGCTCCTGCGGCTATTAATGGTATTGCTTCCAAGGCTTCCAAAGCTTCCAATATTGCCAAGGCTTCGCAAGCCCCCCACGATTCCCACACCACCGCTGTTGTTGTGGCTATGGTTGGCATTCCTTTCACCTTTGGCTGCTGACCCTGACGATCGTGTGCTGCCTTTCCTTCGCTCGCTATGAAGGGTACTCTCCCCCCCATTGATCTGCTCTGCCTTTTCCACCTTTTCCACCTTTTCTCCCCTTTTTAGGAATCCTCCTGGGAGGCAAACAGCTCTCTTCTTGGTAACCACTCCGTCTTCCCTATCATCATTCATGTAAATAGATTTCACCCTTTCGCTGCTCCTCCTGCTGTAGTAGCTTTGCCTAGGATTACTTCCACTGCTTCCCTTCACCTGGCTGTTTGTCCCCCCTGTCGTTGCGGTTCCTGCGTCTATCGCTCCGGTTTCTTCCTGCTCCTGTTTCATCTTCCTGTGACTGGTTGTTCCTCCGCTGGAACCCACGCCTTTCCCGTGGGCTTCAACCACGTCATTGTTCTTGTTCCTGTTCCTGTTGCGTACCCTTCTACGCTTCTTGCTAGTCGTCTCGTCCTTAACGTTGGAGTTAAACTCTTCAATCATCTTCAAAATGCGTACACACCTCATCTTCACTTTATCACACTTGACATTTTTGATGTGACCAAGGTTTAGGTTCACATCGGAGCAGATTTCGTTAATCGATCCGAACCCATATACGTATACCCCTTTGATTAAATTTTCGTCGTCTTCGTTTGACCATGCCTTCACATCTTTCGTCGCGAGGTCTCTCAAATGGTTAAATATATAGTCGGGCAGCTTCAGTTTTAGGTAGTCGCCGCTCACTTCAGGCAGTGGATCGCTCACAGGTTCTTTCTTTACGTCTCCTTCAGCCTTCACTTCGGCTTTCATTTCGCCCTTGACCTCACCGTCTAACTCGGTTTTCTCCTGCAACTGCTGCCCCTGCTGACTCTTCTTCCCCTCCTCCACAACACCGGAGGACACATTGGTGCTCGCGCTGCTGCTACTGCTTCTCAGGGGAAGCCTGAAGCTGTACTCGTTTCCACCATTCTGCTCCTTGACAAACTCGTGCAGGCTTTTAAATAACTGGAGGCGTTGACACAGGTCCAGGGCGTTGGCTCTGTTGGTGCCAATGTAGAAGGTATAGGCGTCTATTTTCCTTCCCCGTTCGTTGCCCTTGGTCTTATTGTTTCCATCGCTGTCCTCATTGGAGTTGTTATCATTTTCCTTTCCGTTCAGTTCGTCCGGCTCCTTCGCTTGCTTCGCCTCTTTCGCTCCATTCGCCTCCTTCGTCTCTTTCTTCATTTCTCCCTTCACTGTTGCAACCTTCTCTTCGCCACCCTGGCCCTTCACCAAATTCAGGAAGCCCGAAAAGAGACCCCCTCCTGCTACGGCTCCTCCCGCGACTGCTTCCCCCTCGGCTGCCTCCCCCTCCGCAGCCTCGGCCCCATCAGCAACACCCTCGGACGAGCCACCTTTCAAGGATTTCCTTCCCTTCGTTCCGAGTTGCCTTCTCTTTTCCTCGTAAGACTTGGCACCATCAGCGGCACGATCGGCGACAAGGCCCTCGTCATTAGCTCCCTCGTCTAACTTCTTCCCATTGGAGTCATCACACGAGGCGACTGTCAAATGGTTGCTATCAGTAGTCGTAGTGGTGTGATTATTCTCCTCCTCCTTCAACAGCTTAATATCCGCCTCGTCGTCTTTCACTCGTTTGACAGTCCTTCCTCCTTCTTCTTCATCCTCCTCCTCATCCGCCGCTTCCGCTGCGACGAGTCCACCCTCCTCATTCACCTTCAAGGAGCTTTCCTTAGCAACCTTTTCCACAATCTCCTTACACGTGTCCACAATGAGGTTCAGTTCGGTTAGTATCACATTCTTGTTCACTTTGGTCAGCTTCGAATCAACTTGGATGTCGTCCAGACGTAAGTAAGGATTCCCAAATTTGAGAAGAGACCTGTAGAGTCGGAATTTGTCCTTCTCCGTTATATGAGTGGAGGTCCTTCTTTTTCTTTTTTTCTTCAGATGTTTATTCTTGTCATGATACTTTATTGTGTACTCCTCACTATCATCATCTTCGTCATTCATCATCTGTGTGTTGACGGCGGAGGATTCCACGTACGAATTGTTTCGATTATGATTATCTCGTGTTCTCGTTTTCCTTGGTCCATGAACTAGCAGCTCTTCCTCTTTCATTCTCTTCAATTTGAGTCTCTCTTCTAGTGGGATAGTTCGATCCCAGAAATCTTTGTCATTCTGTTCTTCCTCTTCTAACTCGTCTGCCTTAGTGGAGTCATTATAAATGTTAGTCTTCAGATTGGCTGGTGGTTCATACTTAAATTCGGTGATGTTATTGTAGGAGCTAAGCAGATCATCAGCTATTCCTCCTCCACCTGCTCCTGCCTCGGATGCAATCCCTCCTGTTCCATTTCCAAAGAGGTTATTTCCCCCAGAAAAGAAGTTATTCGAATTGTGAAGGCTATTCAGCTCGGAGTTTAAATCCTTGTTGGCTTTGTCGGCATTTTCATGTGCCTCAGCTTCTTCCAAGATTTTGTCTAAGTCCACGTCTACCCCTTTGATAGCTGTTTTGTCCTCTTCATCCATTTTTTGAGGTGAATATTTGGAGCTGTTTTTTTCCCACAGTTTCTGTGCACCGAATTTTAAAATTTTGGATAGCTCCTCCCTGGTAAATCCGTTGGATGTATTTCCTCCTTCTCCACCGAGGACGTTGACGTTATCATTTTGCTTCTTGTTCAGTCCCTGGACGACAAGAGTGTCAAGAACCATCTTCACCTTTGCCCTTTCGAGGATGGTCTGTTCAATGGAGTCCTTTGTGACGAGTCTATATATCTGCACCGTTTTCGTTTGTCCAATTCGATGTGCTCTCGCCCCTGCCTGCAAGTCATTCTGTGGGTTCCAATCCGAATCGTAAATAATCACTGTATCTGCTGATGTGAGGTTAATTCCTAACCCACCAGCTTTTGTCGATAAGAGGAAGACGAAGTCATCTGAATTTTTGCTATTAAAATGGTTCATTGCCTTCTTCCTCATTTCTTTCGACATGGTTCCATCCAACCTCTGATGTTTGAATCCTCGTAGGGTTAAATATTCACTTAGGATATTTAGCATCTTCACCATTTGGGAGAAGATAAGCACACGATTTCCTCTCTCCTTCAATCGGATTAGGAGTTTCTCGAGAAGGCAGATTTTCCCACTCGAATAAACCAATCGTTCTTTATACTCATCTTTGTCAACCGGTTCGCAACAGAGGAAGGGATGATTGCACACCTTCTTTAACTCCATGCAGATATTTTGAAGCGAATTTTTCGCTCCACCAGATGCTTTGGCTAGCTGCTCATAATTCTTCGTTAAAATGTTCTTATAGAACTCAATCTGGATGGGTGATAACTCGACTCGGAGGATTCGCTCCACCTTATTTGGCAGAGACTTCTCCACATCCTTCTTAACTCTACGCAGGATAACCTCATGCAGCTCATGTTGTAACTGCATCAGCTGCTTCTGCTTCGCTTCCCCGATAAGACTAGTGTTCTCAATTTCGTTGTACTTCTTTTGGAAGTTCTCATAATGTGTATACTGCTGCGGGTTGAGGAAATGCAGCAGGGTCCACAATTCCTCCAGATTATTATGCAGCGGGGTTCCACTAAGGAGTAACTTCGATTCAGCCATAAATTGTTTCAACTCGATGAATCGCTTCGATTGTCTGTTTTTCAACTGATGGGCCTCATCCACCACCATTAACTGCCAGGGCATCCTCTTCAGCAACTCCACATCGCTAATGCTGTTTAATATGGACGGAGTCGTAATGCACACATCAAATTTATAGCGGTACCCCTTGTTAGGGACGTATACCTTCTTCAGTTCGTGGGTCCTTATGAGCTCTCTGCTGACGGCATTCCCATGGTAGCAGACGACATTCGCTTGGGGTAGCCAACTCTTAAACTCATTTAACCAATTATCAACGGTGGATTGCGGCACGATGATAAGATATGGTCCAATTAACTTCTCTTTATATAGCATGTGTCCAACGACGGAAATAGTTTGTACCGTTTTCCCTAATCCCATCTCGTCGGCTAATAGGACACTTAAACTTCGCTTCATTCTACTAACCATCCAATTGAGACCGGTCAACTGGTATGCTCTCAACTTCTTCCCATTCAGATAAAATGGCGTCTCATTATAAGGGTCAAACTTGGTAGCGGTTAGAGGACCCCTATTCCATGCACTCGAAATGGCTTTCGCTCCGTAGATCTTACTTTCTCTGTCAAAATATTCTTCAATAAGTTTTGTAAATCCATGATCGATTAAGGTCTCCCTTGTCTCTTCTGTACACTGGTCATACGCACAGCTCATCCATTTCACAAGAAACAATTGGTCACCGGTTATTTCACACACCCTGTGAGTTACTATCCTCTCTGCGTGAATTGCGTCCATCTCGATTTGCTTCTTAATTTCCGAGTAAATCTTCTCCTGCTCGATTTCATCCGCCGTCATGTACTTCCTCTTCTGAAAGGACTGCTTAATTTTTTTTATATAATTATCCACCTTTTTCAGTCCATTGAAATGTTTTAAATAATCATACGTACAGAAGAAGTTGTGTATGTGTGACTTTCCTAGCCACTTGATTAGGAACTCCACTTGACTCACATCTTCGATGTCTTCTTCCTCGTAAAAGTCGTCTACCGTGGGGTCCTCGTTCAGGCCCGCGCCCTTGCCATCTGCTCCGTCGGCAGCGGTTCCGTCATCAGGGGCTCCATCGGCAGAGGTTCCGTCAGCAGTTGCCCCATCAGCGACTGCCCCATCACCACCTGCCGCATCGCCAACCGCCACACCTCCCTTACTCCCCTTGTTGATGTACAGGAAGGGGTTGTTCCTTATATTGTTCACATTTTCGTAGTCGAGGATTCTCCTGTGGTGCAGCACGCGGTCGATGCCTCCCATGATCTGCTTCTCCTGTCTGAGCAGCATCTTCTCCTCGTCTACCTTCTTGTCCTCTTCATCCGTTTCGAAGTAGTTATCCATCTGTGCGTAATTCTTCACCTTCCTCCTCTCCCTTAAGTTGATTCTTCCTTCCACGGCGCCAATATACGGGGAAACAAAAATGTCGTTTTTCTCATTCCGTTTTGCCCTTTCGTTGTATCGATCCTCCAGGGGGTCATACAGCTGGGACTTTTTACTACTCCTCTTCGTATGAGATTTCCTCACATACGTGTTGACGTACAGATCGTTGTCTTCATCTTCTTCCGTATCGAGCGAATTATTTCCGTGTTTTTTTTTCTTTTTTTTTCTCTTATCTTTCTTCTGCGTCTCCGACTTTCTCGATTTGTTCCTTGGCCTTCCATGTGTATTCTTCCTCATGTATTTACTGCCCCGATAGAGGGCCGCCTCACCATGCATATCTTCATCTTCGTATTCGTATTCCTCTTCGTCCCCGTCATCATTCTGAAATCGGGGGTCCCCACTACTGGGGTTCGCGTGCATTGCTACTCCGGCTCCTCCCGCTGCTCCCCCATCCATCATCATCATGCTGGTCTGACTGTTACACATGTTGGTGGGATTGTTCACCCCCATCACGCCTCTACCGCTCAGCATCCGCATGTTCACGTCATTCGGGTAGTTTCGATTGTGCATGAAATTGCTCAAGTTGTTGTAGTTGGATACGTTACCCACGTTGCCCATGCTACCCATACTCATCATACTGCTAAGGTTGCTCCCTCCATGGTGGGCTGTCGCAGTCGCTCCCCCTCCGCCCATCACCATCCCATCGTTATACGACTTCATCGGATCCATGGATTTTAAATTACTGTACCGGTTGTCTCCATAACCGCTCATCATATTGTAGCTGTTCATGCTTCCCAGTTTGTTCATCCCTCCGTAAGAACTCCCCGCAGAGGTGCTACTATTTCCACCGCTGCTGGTCATTTCGTTGGCTCCACTGCTTCCACTCACCCCATTCATCAGGTTCATGTTAGGGTAAGTGCTTCCTCCTTTAGTTGGCATGCCATACGGGTTGATACCCATGCTACCAAACATGTCCACATTGATTGGGTACTTTATATTGTAGTTTGGGAACATGCTGTAGGGGTGACTTGCTCCACTGTTCATACCTGTTTCTCCTCCCCCAGCAACGACATTGCCGCTATTGTTACCGCTCCCCATTTTTTTATCCTTTACATCGAGTTGGTTTTCCGCATTCTTGCTGTACTTCTTATACATCCCTGCGGAGTGCTGATCACTGCTCATCATTCCGCTACCATTGAACTGCTCCATCGAGGCAGTGGCTACTCCTCCGGCCCCTGCCCCTACAGTTCCTTTCCCCTTCCTGGTGGATTTGCTCTTGCCTTCACTCACCAGGGAGCCGCTGTTCATCATGCCATCCTTCTCTAGAAGAAGTTCCTCCTTTAAATTTTTGCTACCCTTTCCCTGCTTGCTGGCATTCTTTCCTCCATGGCTACCCTTTCTCTCCTTGCTGATCGGGCCACACTCACTCTTAGCGGACATGTGGTTCGCTCCATAATTATCATAAGGGTAGTCACTCAAATTATTGAACCCCATTTTGCTGTACACGTTACCGCCTGCTCCCCCCATGGGATGGTGGTATCTCATGCTGTTCACATCGCTTAGCGAATTGGCTTTCTCCATCGCGGCGTTGGATCGGTGGGTCGCCATGCCGTGCATGCCTCCTAAACCACCCATGCTCATGCCACCCATGCTCATGCTGCCCATGTTCATGCCGCCCATGTTCATACCTGGGAGACCTCCTGCTCCAATGGCATTCTTTGCCCCCCCTGAACCGGCAGCACCACTACCCATCATCATGCTATTCATCATGACGTTATTGTTGACCATATTCATCATCACATTGTTGGGCATCCCTGTGGAGTCGACGCTCGTCGCACAGGGGTTGTTGTTACCACCGCTGAGGTTAGCGGCGCTGCTGCTGTTACTTCCTCCAACGGCATTCACTCCGCTTCCAGCATTGCCACCACTGCTGGTGTTACTTCCCTGAATAGACTTTAACGAAGCAGACTTATCGATGAGGTTCACGGAGCCCTTACCGCTCAGGCTACCCCCCTCTCCATGATTAGCCAAGCTCAAACTATCTGCGTAGTTCGCACCGGTGCTGCTAGCTCCCGCAACACTGCTACTAGCACTGCTGTTACTCGCCCCGTTACCTCTATTCATCATGTTGGCAGTCGGTTTAAAACAATTGGAGGGTGCGGCCGAAGGGCCATCATAAAACCCATTATTCATATACCCATAAAAGTTCCCATGCATATTGTAGCTATTGGAGCTGTTCCTTAACATCACATCGTTCCTCTGGTAGTACATGTTATTAACAAACGGGTTCGGTTTCATATTATTTGTTCCCAAAAAATTGGGATCCTTACTATTATGCTTCATTTCGCTAGTTGTATGGGCACCCTTTCCACTGTTCATATGAACATTAGGGTTCATCTCCTGCATAGGATAATTCATACTGCTGTATCTACCTCCCATCTGGTTGGTGCCACTGCCACCTGCTTGACTGGCACTAATCATGTGGTGACCTCCCATGGACGACTGCACTTGCATGCTGTTCATGTTATAGGTTGATAAAATGGGCTTCTGGTACGACTCGTGCAGCCCTGTTGCTCCTACGGATGCACTAGCACCGGAGCTAGACGTACCAGAAGGAGCAGAAGCACCGCCGCAATTCTTATTCATTCCCATCTGCTGCCTCAACTGCACATTCTGTTCATTACTACTTAGTAGGCTGCTCGTTATGCTTATTGTCGCGTCGCCACCACTGGGGGGCATGGCATTAAAGTGGTTACCCTTTCCCATATTAACGCTGTTGCCACTGTTAAGGTAGGAAGGGTGGGATGGAGTACAGAGCAGATTCTTATTACTGCTTACTTGGTTCATGTAACTGTTTGATGCCGATGTACCCTTTATCCCACCTGCTTTGTCCGCTTCTATCATTTCCCCGTAGTGTATCGCGTCATGCATGTTGGCACTGCTACCACCGCTTCCGCCGGGATTGTTGCCGCTCATATTGTGTTGCACGAGCGGATTGACGCGTGTCCGCTGGGGTCGCGATGGGATCGCGGTGGCGTTGCTGTACTGTGCTGTCGCTACTACTCTTTCTACTGCGTCGTTTTCACTGGTGTGTCCCTGTCGAGTCCATCAACAGAAGGCTCTCCCCAGTTTGAATGCTTCGAAAAGATGTTTTCTTATTCGCTACAGTCCTGCTGCTTCTTATCATTTACTTCCTTATCATCTTGTCGGCTAATTTACTCTCGACCGTTCTCATGCACGTGCAAGGGTTCGCGTGGATAATCTTTTTGGCACTTTTTCGGTTCAGGCTCGGACAGGAAAGCACATATATATGCGCAACTGTGTACATACCGCAAGTTCCGGTGGGCGCGTGCTTTCCCCGCTTCGCCACTCGGACGACGGAAGAATGACGGGCCTGATTAATTAGACTTCCAAAATAGGTCTCCGTCGAAGGAATTCTTCTTTCAATTTTATATGTATGTGTAATCAAAATGGAGAACGCCTGATGGGCACAAATTCAGGGTGCTAATTCTGCTACGGAAAGGGAAGGGGGAGTAAAGAAGATGGGATGAGGGTGGGGAGAAAAAATGGGGAAGGGGCGAGACAATGCAAAAAGGGAAATCGCTAGCCACGCGCGCGGATAGAACGGGCACACATATACGCAACTAGTGCCTTAATGAGTGAACATAAAACAGGTGCAAATTTTTCCTGTCTTTTTAGTCATTTAACAGACGCACGATACATTGCAGGAATGAAATAAATGATCACAGTAACCCCCCGTGCAGCGCGCACAGAAGGGGGAATACACAGGCATGCACAGGCATCCAAATCTTTTGTGTGTCTTCATATGGATGGACAACACAATGGGGATAGGCAGGGAAGACATGTTACGGATGAGGGGCAGGGGAGGGTGAACTTGAACAACGCAACTATGCCGCAAAAAAAAAAGTGGAAGAATATAAACATGCATTCAATAAACTGCAATCGAGTAAATAGACGAATAAATGGGAAAACAAACTGACATGACGATGAATTAATTTTTTATTCCTTTAATGATTTATTCATTGGTGTGTGTCTGCTGCAGGGAGAACGGAAAGCCGTGCATACCGGCTGTATGCCTTTATCACATATATGGATATATATATTTGCCTACAAGTGTCCGTGGACGAGATGACTCACAAACGCGGGCGAGCTGTGAACACGGGGGGACACACAACTGCGAAGTATTAAGCCGAGAAGTATTCAGGGCGAAATGCATATGTAAAAGGTAGACAAGAACGAAATGGGCGACAGGGCGCACTTGCAACGGGCGCACACTCCGAAAATATAGTGAAGCTACACTCTGGCACGTGAACGAACAGACGCATACGTACATACGTAAATCCTCAACAAACTCATTTGCTCGCTGGGGATGTAAAATCACGGTGGAGGAGAACACGATTAGTGACGATAGGTCACAATTATGCATACCAAGATGAAGATCGCTGGGTACGTGATCTACTAGCTGAAATGCTGTTTTTTTTTTCTTCTCGCTTGGTCACGCATGGGGTGCGAAGCAGGCAGGTTATGCACATGGGAGAAGCGTCACACGGGAAGTATAACACATATGCGTGCACGCGGAGATACACCTTATTAGTGAAGCAATTAAATACACGTGCATACGTTATATGTTATACGTTTCTGAGTGTGTTAGGGGTGCAATCATCGCTTGTGCAATTCTGCGACTGCCCCTCGTATGCGCGCGCATAACCGCCATCTGCACATGCACTCACGTACAGGGAAGGGTGGCACACATACGTAAATACGGGCAACCGCTATTCAAGTGGATTTTTTTTGCGCCATTTTTGTTGCTTACCTTCCAGTGTCCAGTGCGGATGAGAAATACGCAGCCTCGGAAAACCTTCCTCGTCCTTCGTTCGTATCGCCCTGCTTTTCTTCCTAATCAAAAGCTGTAAGTGCTTCGGGTACGCAATACACGCGAAGGTGCGAAGGTGCGAACGTCCGTACATACGATTGCGTGGGCGTACGTGTGCGTCACGCGTTTTTGTGCACCAGGGAGAATACAAATGGGTATTAATTTTCTTTTCTGTTTTTTTTTTTTTTTTGGGGCCTTGTGTAGGTGTACGCATATACATACACATATGTGCGTTTTTTTTTTTTTAATTCTCACTGCTTGTCCTTTCCGGCACCCTGAGTACGCACATACGCGTGACGATTACGCGAGAGTATGCTCCCGGGCACGTATGCGCGAAATGGTGAAGGTTATTCCTCACTTGGCACATACACACGCCCTGTCCAAAACCCCGCGAAATACGCGCTCGTAGGTGTATACGCCGCGTGTGCAGGTGGACAGGCGCACTAGAGCGGGGGAGCACAAAAAATACCCACCTTCAACGCGACATGCGTGTATACCAAGTAATATATGTATATACTGCGTGCAAGTCCCCTCGAGCGTTTTTTCCTTTGCCGCGAAACGTGTTAATGGAGTAAAAAAAAATCTCTCGCGCACAAGTGTAACTGAATTATTTGTGTGCGTAAGAATGGCCTCCCAGAAATATGTCAGCAAAAACTGTTCAGTGTGGTATTCACAAAAAAAAAGGAAATGAACGGGAACGAGCGGGGGGGCGAGGCGGCAAAAGGGGGGGGCGACCAACTAGGGTGTGGAAAGAATGGGGCATACAAAATGAGAGAGGCCAATTGAAGGGAACGGGCGCTTTGCCTCTTCACCGCGCGAGCGACTGAAAAGAAGGAATACGCGACAAAGTGCTTATGCAAATAAACAACTACGCTGAGTGGGCGGTCAACTTCGTGGTCCACTTGACGATCGACCTCCGATGCTCATAAGTGGGGTCCACAAATGAGGACCATAATTGAGCAATACAAACGAAGGAAAGAATGTGCGACGTGCAGCACCCAGCTAACAGCCGCAGCGCGCAGTCAAATCACAAGTGGTGAAAACGACGCACAGTTGCCGGCGAATGGTAAAAAAATAAAAAAAAAAGCTGCACGGCGGCCACGCGCACGGCAGGTGTGCGTAGGTGTATATGTGTATGTATGCAGACGGATAGGTTCACGTGTGTTTGCGCGTATGTCTCAGTGCAGATACACACGTTCATACGAACACGTTTGTGTGTTGTCTTTTCGGTGGGGCGCGCGAACGGTTATGTACAAAAAGGGGGTAGGATTACAAGATGGGAGTATATACCTCCTTCTGGTTATTCGCCAAGTCGTAATAGAACAGGGCCAGGGAGAACAGCCACATGTATACAAGTCATTACATGCGCATAGGTATTTGTGTCTTCCTTATTGTCTGCTGATCTCCCTCTCGTGCATTCCCTCTCTTTCTCCTTTTTTTTTTTTTTTTTTTTTGCCTGCCCCTTTTTTACAACTATGACGTACTGCTAAGTACATACACCCATGCAAGGGTTGCTCTTTCCGGTGCATATGCAAAACCTTGCAAGGAACAACGGGCATACCACAGGTGAGCAACTTAAACACGAGACACAAAACATGGCTTACTCAAGCGGGGAAGCATGAACAGGTGGAGGCATGAATGGGAAAAGAGCGCACTATAGAAAAACATTCATACGTAAACCCATACCACGCACGGATTCATCCGTACATATGCAACACCCTTCTGAAAATGTATACACAATGGAAATGTTATTTTTCCCAGGGCGCAGCTAAAGAAAAAAAAAATAAATAAAAAACGTGCCTTCAAATAGGAGTCCCTTTTAATACACAATGTTAGTGATTAAAAGGAATGCCACTTTGGCAGGTGTCGCTTTCCAAAATAGATGTGCGCAGGAGGGAGTCACTCATTTCTCTGCTACAGGCATCACGCGCAGAGATACGGATGTCTCATCTGAGCCACAGTGGGTACAGGTAAAATGATATACATGGAAGCATAATGACGTTTTCTCGTTCTGCTTCTCCCTTGCAAAGGAGCGGGCAGGAGGTGAAACGTCGCAAAATGTCCAACTTGCGAGCAGCGTTGGGTATGCGCAGCTGGCTAGTTCTTTTGACATGATGGCGCGTTTCCCTCACGGCAGCCCTTTGGCCATGCAGCATTTTGGAGCTATGAACAAAAAAGGTATGTTCTTGGCCCAGACGGTATGGCTAGCTTATTTAAAAAAAAAGAAAAAAACGCAAAACAACACGTGTCTATTCGGTTGTCCGCTTGTCCTCCTGTGTATGTTTTTCTCCTTCGTGAACAGGAGAAAAAAATGCAGTGAATATATGTGATTTAAAAATGCTGTGCGCAAGCAGCGTTCGTTAGACGTCGCCTTTGTTCCGCTTCGCGGGTATCATTCACTAACGACGCACACAGGGAACGTCTACATTCGCATGGAGAGACGTGACGAGCTCGCAGGAGAGAAAAATGCGGTGGGAAAAAATGGTCTACGTGAAAAATGTGACACGCTAAAAAAAAAAAAAATAAAATGCCATTGTGCTGCCAAGAGTATGCAACGGCGCAAAGTTTCCCAGCAAAGGGGGGGCTTTCTCCCAGGTTTAGGTACAGACGTCACAAGCTGTACCTACACGCAAGTGGCGAGGTATCCATGTAACTGTTGTTTATACGTAACGGCCAGAAAAAGGCCCACGCAAGCGGCAGCAAGGAAAATGTGCCCAAAAAGGTGGAACACAAAACAAGCAAAAAGGAATGCAAGGTGGATAAAGCATGCCATGCGAATAAGGCACGAGCGCCAGGCAACGCAAGTAAAGCAACGAAATGTGGATAAAGGGAAAAATAAATGTACGTAGAATAAAGGGAAATGTACAGATGGATACGCCAAAGGCATACGTGCATAACACGTACAGGAAAAGTACATGACACGTATATGAAGCGTACCTCGAAGGTACATGAAATGTATGTGATATATAACATGCATATATACATATAATACAATACATGCATAATAACACGAATGAGTTAAGCGTAGACTCAAAGAAGAAAAAAAAAATTGGCTACATGGCCAAATTGAGAATTCTGCAGATAAGGATAAACCTTCCCAAGGGACGATGCAGCAAGAGGAAAAATGAATAAAAAAGAGGAAAAGAAAAAGATGAGAAAAAAATGGGGGGGTAAAAAATGGCACCATAAAATGAAGAGAGAAAAAAAAAACAGCAAGCAAAAATATGCCCTGAAAAAAGTTAAGCATATTTTCGAGGAAAGCAAAAAAAAAATGCTGAGAAGAATTTTAAGCGGTAAAAAAAAAAGAAAAAAAAAAGAGGCGGTGGCATAATATTAATACAGATAACCATGATGTAAATAACGCGACGCAGATAAAATGATATATAATATAATAAGTGAATGAGAGGAAAAAAGCGAAGAGAATTTTCTTTTTGCAGAAACTGCATGGGCTGCAAGGCCAACATGCTGCAATTAATTTTCTCGTGTGATATACGCGAGGAAAAACGACGTAGCGCAGTCGCCAAAGGTGCGAAGCTGCGAAGTTTAGAAGCGGCGGAGCAACCGGGGACGAGGAAATATATAATTTGTCGTTCACTCCCACAGAAGAAAGTTTCCTTTTCTCCTCCTTATATTATATTCACCGCGCCGTGCGTACATGCCAACAAAAGCGATGCTGCGGGGGGGGGACATGATGGGCTCAGCTTAGCGCGCCACGCATATACAGTACAGTACCACATGCAGGCTTTCCCCTGCCGGAAAAAAAATGCATACATGTACACGAATATACGCGTAATTTAAGCACAAAATATGGGGGCAAAATATGGGCGCAAAAATCTGAGCGCAAAATATGAGCTCAAAGTATGAGCACAAAGTATGAACATAAATTAAGCCCAGGTTGAGCGCAAATATGTAGGCAAAATTTTTACGCGTATAACGTACGCACAATGCACAGGGTGACAAGGGCCGCATTTTTCCAGCGGGGGTCCGCCACACGTCCCGGGGCGCACGATTAGGAGGAGAGAACCAAAGAACCCATTTTTTTACCTGATGCCGCGCTGACACGTGCATTTGCCGTGAGGAAAAAAATAACTGCCGAGTTTACGCACCCGCATGTACCTGCAATGAATGAAAAAATGGTATCTTTTTGTATGCCAATTTTCTTTTGCCAGTTTTCCTTTTTTCTTTTTTGTGTCCGCATATGGACGAAATGAAATGTACATGATGATATGCATTATTATATAACCATTTGTTCTTTTTTCTTTTTTGAGCATGCGCAGGGGGCGCGAGTAATTTTTTTTCCCCCATTCCAGCAATGGGCAGTCAACATGGACACAAAATGGGAAGAAGTGACGCGTGATGACGCGAGCTAGAATCACGCATCTACTGGCGCGAACAAATCGATTCTGAACTTTCGCACTGCGCCCGCGTGCGTACAAAAGTACATTGGTAGTGTACCCATGTTATAGGATATATTATAATAGTACGATTTATTTGCCTATTTTGGGCGTGCCCCTGCCGTGTGAGGCTTGGAGAAAGGGGAAGATTACTTTTTCCCCCTGCCTCTTCACTTTTTTTTTTTCCTTCTCACCACGGCCCATGCCCATAGGAAGCATCCTTTTATACATGCGTGCCATTGTCATATGGGATGTACGCAGAAAAATTGGGCCATAAAAAAAGACCATGTACACCCTTGTGGGGGGAGATAGGCATACAAATAGAAATTAATACGCGAAAGAATAACGCTGAGAAGTGGGGGGGAAAGGGCGGAAGCATTTTTCTTGTCCCCCTTTTTTTGTGCGCAGTTCCGGGAAAAATAAATTGGGGATCCGTTCACATTCACGTTGGTGTCATCACATTGATCTTTTTTGCGACCGTTTGCATTGACTACTTGTTTTGGGGGCAGGGGGGACTCATCTCTTTGGCCCGTTTAGGATTTATACCTTTCGCCAAACTCTTTCTCATTTCCGGTTATTTTTCCCCTCTGGGGGCAGCTGTTTTTCTTAAAGGGGTTATTTCTTTATGTAGTCACGTATGCGTGAGTGCATGCTTGAGTGCATGCATTAGTACATACGTACCTACACATATGATTGTATGTATGTACATGTCGACACGTATGCGTTCACTTTGGCGTCGCCCCCGGTGGTTGCTTCAAATTATGTTCACCTGTGCCACATTCCATGGCACGAAGAAGTAATGTTCCAACTTATAACTCAGAAGAATGGTCTCCCTTTTTCTTCCTCATCTTTTCTTTTCCGACCCAGGCTTAACTCTACTAATTCTGCGCGGCATAGGTATATGTACGTATGTGACTTAATGTCTAAATGAGATGGCCGTGCGTGGTAGCCTCCTATAAATTTGGATGCATCCAGTTCATGTGACGCATTGGAAACGTCCCCTTGGTAGGGCTTCACTCGGGGACAGAGCAGCGCGTCGCGCGAAGCAGCCCGTTAAGTTGTTCCGCGTAGGTGTCAGTGTGTCTGTCTGGGGGGTAACATGCAAAGGAGGCAATCCTTACGTTTTAAAAGAGCCACCAAAAGGTCACCCAATTGACCGTTCGCAGAAATTGAATAGCTTTGAAAATTACATATCGGTAGAGGTACCTTTTCTTTGGTTAATTTGTGTCCGCGCAACACGCCACTTGAATGGTGTAACTCCAAATTGCTTCTCCGCGACGACTGCTCTGTTCTGATGAGGCATTACACAAAGGGAACAGAATGTACATTTTCTCGGAAGTCATTTTGGTCCCCGTGGCAGTTACAAAAGTATAAACGAAAGAGAAATAAGGACAACCCATAAAATTGCACACTTCTCATTGTGAGAGACCCGTTACGTTGTTTTGTCGGGTGGATAAGGCTGCTTATCATCGCTCTCCACCACGATGAAATTACATGTGAACATCCCCTTTCGCCATGCGGACAAATGAAAGGCAACTTTGGGTGTATCCCCATTGTCATGTATGTAAATGCTTGGTTATTTACCAAATGGGGCCATTTTGACTTTGTTTTTCTCGCCCGCTGGCTAGTTCGTATGGGTTGTCAAAACGTAGAAACTGAGAAGGTCACAGAAGGGGGCATACATCCACACAAGCGTGCATATATATGTGTGTCCAGATTTGGGAAGGACCAATCTGCAGCGCAGTAGGTAGCTAACTTTTTCTTTTTTCTCTTTTTTTTTTAAATCGAAAAATTACCTGAACAGGTCAGAAAAAAAAAAAAAAAAAAACTTTTGGATGTTGAATACACAGGAGGTTTCCTTTTCATCAAACTGGAAGAAGTTTCCATCACGTTGCCATCTCTGGAAAAAATGAGCCCCAATGTGATAAGTTATCGTTACGTGGCCTGCTTACTCGCTTTCCCATTTGGTCCCAATTAAGACATTCCTTGCTGTCACTGTTTACCCGTTTGTTTCCTGTTGTAGGGGGTACTGAATCCCCTCGCACACCCTGTGGTGCTTCGCATTGGCGAGGCAACCCCATTTGGTTATCGCGACACAGGGAAAAAGTGCCAAGGCATATTACTCCATCACAGGCACATACACGAATGAATACTCACATACATTTGCGCGTGTGTAATTTTTTCCCCCCTTTACTAACTCGCGAAGGAGTTTCTCCAAAACTGTTGTAAAAGATGTAGTGCGCGTGGGCGGCCTCGCAGAATCGCACCTTTTTCTTCCCCATGCTTCATCTCCCCCTTTGCCTCTCCTCCCCTTTGGAATAATGAAAAAGGGCCCCCTGTTCCTTCTGGCATACCTCTACTTCATTTGCGCAAGTAACAAATGCAACGGGTTGAAAATAAACAGGGCGGCGATCACTCCAAACGTGTTGTTCAGCATAGAGGCAAAAGGCGAAAGAAAGGCTAAAGCTAAGGCCAAGGCTAACCCTAACGCGAACAGCGGGGGGGGCAAAAACAACCCAACCAGTGATAACCATAAGAAGAAAGTCAGCGAACAGGTAGGAAACAAATTTCTCCACCTGGAACAAAACAAACGTGTATCCATCAACCCTTTGTTCAATTCCCTATGTAAAAATGTTAGCGTCAGTGAAGCTTGCCTGTACAATGTGCAAGAATTTTTTAACGAGGCAAATTACAACAATGGGAGGACTGGAAACCTGGAGGACAAGAAACTCTTCTGCGGTGTCCTATACGGGACGTATGAGGATGACTCTATGGTAAAAATCGAAAATGTATTTTTTGCTTTAAACCGCCGAAAACAAATGTATGACGTGGATTACCTGCTCAATAGCGAAGACAGGAGGAAGGCTGACGCGCTGGCAAAGAGGCTCAACTGGGAAGTGGTGGGGGTTCTTTATGCCTACCCCGACATCGGGGTAGACTTAAGTGTGTCCAACAAGAAAAGAAAAAATTTCGTGAAACTTAACAAGAAAATAAAAACGTTGAATGATGAGGAAAACGAGCTGTTCATCCCCATTGGGGGGAGGGAGGTTCTCCTCGCGCTCACAGTGATGAAGCACCGCGATGACCGGACTCGGGAGAGTCTGCCAGGCGAGGCCAAGGAGATGGCGCAGATCAACAATGGAGCGACCCACAATGGAGCGACCCACAATGGAGCCACCTTCAATGGAGTACCCACCAATGGAGCAGCCCCAGTGGAAGCGCAAAAACAGCGGCCAAAAACATCGCAAAATGACACACCCAGGAAAAAAAAAAAAAAAAAAAAAAAAATTCCCGAAAAAAAAAAAAAGAAAACAAAAACTGTCGGCATGGACAAAAGCTCCAAGTCGATAGTCGTCGAGGCGTACGAAATAAATTACGACTTGCTGAAGCTTCTAAATAAGGACATGATCAAAGACATGCAAAAGCAAAACAGCATACTGCATTTCGAAGCAAACAAAAATGAAAAGGACCAAAAGATAAAAAACTTCAACACCGAAGTTGACCTAATGAATGAGTTATATTTGAAATGTAAAAGTGACGTCCTCATTGAGAAAATCGAAGTGAAGCAAATTGATGTCCTCTTCTGTGTTAACAACGTCCCCATTCTTTCCCATAAGAGCCTCTACAATACTTTCTTCCCTTACCCAAACAATAGCAACTACTACACCATTCTCCAAAGGTTTAACTACATGTCCAGATCGTTACATAATCAAAAGGACATGGTCAATATATTTCGCGACTTTAACTTTCTCCTTTTCCTCACGAATATTTTCTCATTCGAGCGTGACATCCCTCCTATTTGTAAAGCCGTCAACGATTTGAATAACTCGGTTGCCATTCCTGACCAATACGTAAGCATTTTGAGGAGCCTCTCCCAAAGTGCGAATGCGCCTCAGTGAAAGTGGCGGGACCAGCCG